TTCCTTTCTACATTTTCCATGTACTCAAATGCTTTGTTCCAAGTTTCCTAGAAATCTACTTCCTGAAACCCCCATCCTACTTACTTGACACAGTAGTCATCCTGGGACTTACTTTCATTGCATTCCTTTGTGAGATCTTATGTTTTCAGGATGCCAAGCCTTCTTATTTAGATTACTCCTTTGTTTTGGTGTACCACATCCTCCAGTAGCCTCCTAAGAAAGGGTACATGGTAAGATAAAATTTTGAGACCACGAAAGTCGAAACTTTATTTTAGCCCCATACTTGATTGGGTTGTCTGGGTACAGAATTCTAGTTTGGAAATAATTTTTCCTCTTGAATTTGAAGACTCGGCTTTCATAGTCTTCTAGCATCCAGTGCTGCTACTGAGAAGTCTAAATGCCATTCTTGGAAACATCTTTTTTATGTAACCCTTGTTTTTCCCCTTTGTAAAGGTTCAGGATCTTCTTTAACTTTGACATCCTGAAATATCATGATCTACTTCTGTGTGTTTTTTAATTCATTGCACCAGTCACTCAATGGATCCTTTTAATTTAAAGACTCATGTCCTACATTTTTGGGAAAAGTTCTTTAATTTCATATTCTCTCCTCATCTTCTTTCTCTGTTCTCTCATTTTGGAGCTATTAACCAGATGTTGCATCCCATTTGATCTTCTAATTTTCTTTTTAGTTCTTTCCTATTTTCCTTCTCTACATTTTTGTTTTACTTTCTGAAATTTCTTCAACTTATCTCCCAACACATCTATTGAAGGTTTAACTTTGGTTCTCCTATTTTTCCAATATTCTTATTTTTTGATTGTTCATATTTTTATAGCATCCTGTTCTTATTTCATGGATGGAATATATTCTCCTATGTTTCTGAGAATATTGTAGCTTCTTTGGGGAGTTTTATGTTCCCTGCATTATTTCCAATTTTTTTCAGGTTCTTTTGTTTTGGTCTTCATCGTTCATTGATGAAGGTTATCAGATGTCTAGTGATCTTTGGCTATCAGTTTATGTGATTTCAAGTGACTGAAAGCAGGGCTTGTGGACTCTGAGTTTCACTGTAAAAAATACTCAGGTGGCAGGCTATTTTTTCAAAATTTTCATCTTTCTGGATGTGGTAGGCAGGGCTGGGTATAAGCCTGGCTGCCAGATTCTGTAGCTGGGTGGACAAGGTGCCTGAAGGCTCATAATGTTCAGAGTACTGCCATTCTCCCAATCTTCCTGTTTTCAGTATAGCACCTCACTACCACCACTCTCCTCCAGATCCCAGTTCTAAGTCTACCTCAGACTTTGGTTCAATTTCTCCAGAAAACAAACCTCTACTCTTTGGCTAGAAAAAGGTATAGTCATCTGGCTACAAACGGAGGGCAAAAATAAACTTTCAAATAATCCTCTTGTTTTCAACTTTGCTCCTCACCCTCACCTTTCAGGGTAACTTGTGCTTCAAGTCTTTGAGTCTTTTGGGGGTTTTGGAAGGAAAAGATAGGTGTTCCAAATTTGTGGACCTTTTCTGTGATGAAGAATGGCTGCTAGAACTGTTACCTATCAAGTATCAAAAAAATAAATAAATAAATAAAAGTAATACACTCAATCTTTCCCTTCATGGCAAAGGAGAGTGAGAAGTAACTTAAAACACACAAAACAACGAACCTAAACTACTTATTATTAAGAAAGCATTTAAAAAATTTGTATGTCTGGAAATGTTTTAATGGTTATGTGATTATTTTAGCCAAATACAATGTGTCTCCTATAAAAACTCTCATTTCTGCAACTGGGCTTCCTCCTCCACCTCTCAACAACAGCTCTAACCTCGGGTCAACTACGTGTTAGCCTTCTTCTCCCCCCGTAAATATTTGGAGGTAAGAAAACAACACGTAATATAAAGAACTGGACTGTTCCCTGGGAAGAACAACATGACTACGACCCAAGCTTAATCAGTGCTACTATAAGGCTGCAAGATGAAACATGGGAAGCCAGTTAAATCTGAATTTCAGATAGATGATCACTTCTTTCTGGTATAAGTATGTCCCATATTTCACTGTTTATCTGAAATTCAGATTTACTTTAGCATCCTGTATTTTTATCTGCTAAATCTCACAACCCAATTACATTTAAAGAAACAGCACGTCATAACTAGAAAGACCAACATAAAAAAATTAGGTTTAAAGAAGGAAACTGGGATCTGGACCAAAGCATTCAAGCCACTGGCAAAGTCTACATAAGTACCAAGCAGGTAGCCAGGCACCAATACCATATAACCCACTTTGTGATAAGTCCCCATGGAATGCATCGACTGTGGCCAACATTAATGCTTTCAATTAATATAGGAATTCAGTTTCTCCAGGTAGTGGGTGGCCCCTTAATTGTGTCACCATAGCTCTGCCACTCTATCAAGTCATTCTGGTTGCTCAGGGTGCAATCATAAAGCCAATCTAGGGTCTTTTTTGATGGAAGATGGCTATAGCCTTGGACTATTCCAATTGTTTGGGTATCTCCCAAAGGAAGATGCCCCTACTGGACCACTGCCTAATTAATACATTGTAAAACACTAGTTGATAGATTGGAGTGTCAAGTCCCACAGTTGACACTATGGATGGAAGGGTAGTATTAAGCATGGGCTTAGCAAAACATATTAAGTTCCCCCCAAATAAGACATTACCAGCTCCTCAATTTACAAACTGCAACATTTATTCTAAAACTGTTTCATATGGTTTCTGTTGAAGTCTAATTTGACACCACACACCAGCTTGGTTTCTATGTATACTAGGAACTCAGTTTTAATCTTGTTAAACTGACCAGGATCCTGAGTCTCCTAGATGCTAACTGATTATGTCCTATCCCAGGGAACAGGGCATCACTTCCCAAATGGTCCCAGGAATTTTCTTTTTTGTGTGTGAGGAAGATTGGCCCTGAGCTAACATCTGAGCCAATCTTCTTCTATTTTATGTGGGATGCTGCCACAGCATGGATTGACAAGTGGTGCTAGGGATCTGAACCTACGAAACTCGGGGTGCTGAAGCAGAGTGCATGAACTTAACCACTACGCCACTGGGCCAGCCTCCATCTCAGGAATTTTCCTATCATGTGTCAGGGTCATCTACGTCTTCCCAAATAAATTGTCCAAACTCCAGTCAATTCACTCTTTTATAATCCAACCCTAAACTGTCACAAACATTTTAAACTGACTTCATGCTGTTTAGAAGCAACAACTCTGGTACTGTCTGTCTGCTGCATTATTTTAAATTATCTGTAAATCAGGCATTCCTTTCTTATCTCATTGAGAAGAGCTAGTCAATAGCTCTCACAGCTAACAGAAGCTGGGTAGCCAGCAAGTGTCAGGTCATGGTGGTGCCCTTACCCTTTCCTTTTCTTGGTCTCACTACCAAAACTTTTGTATAATCCCACTGCTGTTGCCAATTCAAAGGAAGAGCTTGAAAGATTGTATAAAATGATCAGACTCAAACATGTTCGCCATTAACTAAACTTTGTTTAAAATTGGCAAAGATATACCATGGAGATTATTCTTTTGGTAACAGCAAATTGACACACAAGAAATACCTGGTGGTTAGCATCAGCTAGCGTAGCTCCCTCAATTTCCCTACGTCCAATGGATATGGCTCATTGGTGGACTCAAATACCGGCAGCTTGCACAAAGTTGTCTTACGAAGTCTGAGAAGTTATCTATATTTTCTGGGCTTTCCTATATACCCCAGCCATGTGAGCAAAACACTTCTGGGCCTCGGCTTTGTGTGCCATTCCCTTGTGAACTAGCACATCCAACTTAAATCTGTGTATAAAATGCCTATTTATTTTATCTATTCCCTTAGCTGACTACCCCTTGTTGGGTTTAATTGTCAGAGTGTGCTCTCCATGTGAAATTCCACTAGTTTGATGGCTGCCCTATTTCCAAATATATAAGGGCATTGGGCTTATTCAATGTGACCCTAGAGAGCACAGATAGTATCGAGGGCCAAAAGCTTTGGGGTAATTTACATTGGTTCAGTATATCTTAAAACTAATTTCTTGTGTATACTATTTTATTTAATTTTGGAATCCCAATGTCTGGATTATAGTAGTCACTCCATAATGTTATTAGATGAATGACTAAACTTCTAACAGAGATATTTAAAACTAATGGGCTACTCCAAAAGACACTTGAGTTCTCTAATACTGGAACCAAAAGCAGAAAATCATCTATTAGAAATGTAAGAGCCTTCATGTATCAGTAAGAAAATAACCCAAGTGACTTCTAAGGTCCTTAACTGCTTTAACAATCTACTCTAATATCAAAATACTGTTTTCATCATAGAGAAATTTTTTTAGATAGATGGTTGTCATAGGAGTCCCACCAGGATAATCCCCTAAAAGTGACCTAAAATCTGCCTTCCTCCTGCCATGTATTGATTTTTTCCTTTTCTGAGGAAGCTGATGGGTTTAAAAAACATGATTATGGTCTTCCAGGCTCAAGGTATCTGGGCTGCGTCAACAAAAAGAGGCTGCCTATCTGCACCAAGAGAACAATACCTTAGGTAACATTAATGTCTATTGGTTTAGAAATTGTTTCCCTTACTCCTTTGATAAATATTTCTCTAAACAGAAAATAAATTTGTCCTTCTTTATCCTAATTATGGTGAGTGCGTTTAACCAAAGGCCCACGTAGGGAGTACGACAGTGGTAAATCCACTCCTAACCCCACATCCATGGCACACAAATAGTAAAGGCTTAAAGGTTTATTCAGGTACCGATCATTTTGCGCAACCTGGAATTACTTAACATATACAAACAAATAGGTTCAAATCTGGGTCTTGACTGAATATTTGGCATTTTCTTCAATAATGTTTCTTTTCTAGAGCTGCTAAGGCTCCTCCTATCAGAGACACTGTATAGATACAGATACTATTATCTATGGATTCTATTCAGCACTTAATGAATGTTGAATATACCTTGAGTAAAGCAAGATCTATTTCATTTGTTGAGAACAAATGACCATACTCTGTTCAGCACGTACAAAGCTGTTGGTTTATTCAGCTGCGAAGCTGGGGAAAGGGTTCCTTTTGGGGGGAATAGAAAAAATGTGCTCATGAGCAAGGCACTTTTATACCCCCCCCCCACAGAAAAAGAAACATATTATGGTTACATAAACATCAACATATTTTAATTGTTAGACCTCCCCACATTGTTCCACCTCCCCCTTAAAAAAAGAAACAGGTTCTCGTAACATTTTAAAAACCAGTTTCACAGAACATCTACATAGGAACAGTTTCTGATACATTCAGTTACACTAACAGTATGATATGGTTTCAGTTGAGTAATTTTCCACTAACAAATATTTTTTTCTACCTACTACAATTCCCTCTTTTTTTCTTAAGACAACTAAAGCTCAGAAGAAATAACTCATTAAGTTATAAACATTCTTCTCTCTCTTTAAAGTTGCTAAACATTTATAAAATTTGTGATTCCGCTAACGCTTCGATTTTTTGATGCCACATTGCATACAGCACTTAACATGGAGAATAGGAAAAGGTTAAACTAAAACAAGGAAAAGGATATATTGTTCTATCTTTAACAATCTGTCTTCTGAGTCCCTTTAGATGTCAGTCAACCAGACTCACACACAGGCTTCACTCTTCATTGTATGTGTGTGAAAAGATTTAATGGTCTCATACATTTTATTTACTCACGTAAATAAACACAGCAAGACTCATTTACAAGGGTACATATTCTTTGTTTAGGTAGAAGGAAATCTAACGTTAATCTATGTAGAAACAATAACGCTAAAAAACTCTTTAACTTCAGATTTTATCAGGCTAAGATTTTCTGTAGTAAGGTTCTTTAAAGTTAGAAATGTTCCTGAAAAAGTTTGCAATGGATGTGGAAAGTGCATAAATGCTCTCTTAATCCTTCTCTGTTGGTCTTTTAGAATGTGTTTTATTTGCTCTTACCTAAAGTTTGGCTGCCAAGATGCAAGAAACATATTGCCTACAAAACAAGTGTCTGTTTAATCCCCAGGTACGATCTTATACGTCAATTTAGCTAGAGACCCCCGGGTGGGAGCCTATGATATAAATGTTTATACTGTAACTGCAGGTACCGTGATAGGTCTGGAGTAGTGTAGGCTAAGTTTGACACTATATTCCCTTCCCCAAAAACAGGAATCCCTAAAGGGTGTCATCTATAGGCCTGTCTATACAAAAGCTGGGAGATAAATCGATATTCCTGCCATTTTCTTTTGTCTAGTTATTCAATTTACTTCAACTACCTCCCTAGAAATGAATGTCAGAAAGGTATTACTAGGAGTAGCTAACGTCCCACTTTCCACAATGGCTGTTCTAAGGTTGGGTAACAAAAGGGGTAGTGGCCTACTTTTTCAGTCTCATTAATAATTAGACATTTAGTTAGAGTCCATTCAGAAAGGCGGAATTAACTGGGGGGAGAACTGAGTGTGGAGAATAGTCAACTTATCTTTTATGATATGGTCCCTTTGACTAATTCTCCATTGAAGTTCTCATTTTATTGACATGGTCTGTCAAAGGGAATGCTCACAATGCACATTTTCTGTAGAGAGTTATGGGACTCTTGGGTAAATATTCAGTACTTGGCAGTACTGCAGCCTGTCAGGACAGGGTATAGTTTGGTTGAGAAGCCATTAGTTTCTCAACTGCAGGCTGTGTAACTTTGTACTCCTGTAACAACATGACAGATATCAGAACAAATGGTGGATCTTTATAGTGATGCTGTTAGGAGTTTGTTAACTGCCTTTTGGAAGTCAGTGTAGGAGTAAGTAGTGTTGATGGGTTCAGTGCGGGTTGTTTCCTTAACTGTTTTAGTTAACCAGCCGCAGCAACAACCAGACACACATGAATTAGGGATCTGTTTTAGGTATTCAGGTATGGGAGTGGCTCTACTCAATGTTCGGCTTAACTGTTTGGTGGCAAATTGCAGTGCTCCATTTAGAGTGGCATGATCTCTAGAAAGCCGGCTGGGACTTATAAGGGGCTTTTGAAAAGGTGGGACTCCACAAGAAGCCAGAGGAGGCCACTCAGGAATTGGTTCCAGTTTTGGTACACAGTGGGAACAATGGGAGAGTCTTAGACCTATCTCTCGAAGTATATGGACCGGTGTGCTTAGATCCAAGAGTTTAGCATGATATAACCAGGAATTAGGATTTAAAGGTTTCCAAGTTGTAGAGTATTTTAAAAGGCACTTAACCTGCCAGGCAAGACTCTCAAGAGGCGTTAGGTTGGGCACCACAGGGTCCTCTTCTTCAGAGGAATCCCACTCTTCCCCAGAACTCTCATTGAGGTACTTAGCGTTCTCTTCTTCCTCACTTTCTGATTCTGATAAGGGGTCAGGAGAGGGATTTCTGGGACCCATCAGAAGAGAAGAGACAAAAGGAACCAGAAAAAGGCAACAATCTAAGCCAGCAAAACACTGGCTAACACTGGCAAATAAACAAAAGATGAAAAATCCTTTCAACAAGATTAATTTGTCTGTTTCTCAGTCCATTACACACACACACAGTATGCTTGTGGCTCGCACCACTGTGCAGTTCTTCAAGATTATGTTGTATATTCTTCACTTACAAAGAAGACATCTCAGTTCTCAGGACCAGTTCAGTGTGTAAAAGTGTCAGTCACTTACCAGCAGCACAGGACAGAAGCTCTCCTTCAAATCCTGGCTAACCAAGGAGAGACAGGGTGCTCATCTAGGCAAGCTGATTTTCTTAGCAGGGTCTCAACTGGTCATGATATTGTGAAGAGACACTTTGTGTACTCTGTTTTGTTGGCAGGGATAGTATATCTACTTGGTGATAAAAAGAAACTCAGTGGTCGCCTTCGTTGTCCGCTGGTACGGCAACTTTTGTGCAGGGGGATGGCGGGATGAGTTGTCAAGGATATCTGGTGTGCACAGATCGGATGTTTTCCATAGGTGGTGCAAATGCCCTTGGAAATTGGTGACTTAGTTGTTGGACTATCTGGAAAGGTAGTCTTAACCTGTGAATGAGAAGACTAGAGACATGATATTAAAGCCTGAAAGCAGTGGGTAACATTATTGTCCAACTTTATAATAAAGAGTACACCAGAACATGGACGCTGAACAAGAAGCCTTCTTGGCTTTCCCATCTCTATCTCATAGGCTTAAGTAGACTTAGATTTTTCTATTGGGAATGGCTCCCACAATCACAAAATAGGGAAGGAGAGCCTGGGGCCATTTTAGTCCTTCGTTGGTACATATCTGGGCCAGTTTCTTTTTCAGTTTGCAGTCCTAGCCCAGAAAATTACACGTGTAAAAGCAGATCCCTTATGCCTCAAACTTAAATAGAGAGCTACAACGGTCGTCTTTTCACCTTCAGATGTGCTTGTTGGGATCTACATCAATTTCATTCAGACTAAATTCTCTGATTGTAATGCAATAAAAGTAATATGAAAGGTTGGTTAAAAGCAACCCTATGTTGGGAAACTAAATAACTCATGGATTAAAATGGAAGTCATAAAACATATTAAGAAATATTAAAAGTGAATAATAATATAAACTCTACAAGGCAAAATTTGTGGGACATGGCCAAATAAGTACCTAAAAGAAATTTATAGCTTTGAATACATTGATAGGGAAAATGAGGAAGTTTAAATATCCACAAGTTCAGTATTCAATTCATGATAATGGAAAACAGCGAAAGCAAAATAAGCAAGAAGGAAATAATAAAAGCAGAAGCAAAATAGTACATGAAAGAACATTAGAGAAGACTGATAAAATTACAAGATGGTTTTCTGAAAATATAAATAAGAAAAACGAAACTGGTGAGACTTATTAAAAGATTTAAAAATAACAAAAAAGAGGGGCTAGCTCCATGGCTGAGTGGTCAAGTTTGTATGCTTTGCTCCAGCAGCCTGGGGTTTACAGGTTTGGATCCCGGGTGTGGACCTACACACCACTCATCAAGCCATGCTGTGGTGGCATCCCACATAGAAGAACCAGAGTGACCTATAACTAGGATATACAACTATGTACTGGGGCTTTGGGGAGAATAAAAAAAAAAAAAGAGGAAGATTGGCAACAGATGTTAGTTCAGGGCCAAACTCCCTCAAAAAATAAAAATAAAAATAACAAAAAAGAGGTTAAAAAAAACCATGACAAATATATGCTAAAATGTGAAAATCTAGATGATATGGCTAAATTCTAGAAGAATATAAAATAGTAAAATTCACACAGGAAGAAATAGATAACTTGGACTAGAATAGACCAGGAAGTATTAAAGAAACTGAAAAGGCAACAACCTTGTACAGCAGGCCCATATGGTTTTATAAGTGAGTTTCACCAAACTTCCAAGGGAACTAATACCTATTTTATATAACTTGTTCTAGAAAAAAGCAAAAAGCAAATAAAGTAAATAGCTCCTTTTATGAAGATAATAAAATATTAATTCCAAATCTAGAGATGAACCAAATAAGAAAAGTATAGGCTCTTTTCACTTACAAAAATTCCAAAGATTACCTAACAAAATCTAGTAGTTTTGTTAAAGAAAAAAAGAATATGTTATAATCATATAGAACTTATCCCAGGAAAGCAAGGCTATCTTAACTTTAGAAAATTTACAAGACACCACAGTAACAAAGCAAAAAAAAAAAAAAAGACCAGATAATTTTATCAACTGTGGATATTTAACCTTTTTTAGCTTCTAATCAACACCCATTTATGCTTTAGAAAACAAAAGAATCTTACCAAACTAGGAAGAGAAAGTTACCTTCTCTACCTGGTGAAGGTTATCCACCAAAAATTTTCAGCAAATATTATCCAAAAAGAATAACTTTAGATATATTCCCTTTAAAAATGAAATTAGGTATGGATGATCCTGATAACTGATACTGACAAAATACCAAAAGTCCTAATCCACGTTATAAGAAAAGAAAAGACAGGTGTAAGCACTGGAAGAAAAGAGATAAAACTATTAATTTACAGATGATGTGGTCATCTAGTTAAAAAAAAGGAACATATAAACTATTAGAGCTAATAAAAGAGCTCAAGAAAGTTCCTGGATCTGAGATTAACCTATGAATTATTCATTAATTTATTTTTATAGCACTTACTACTTTGTCAGGTACTATTCTAGGAACTGTACAGATGTAAACATGTCTAAAATTTTCCTGACGACCCTGTAAGATAGGTACCTTTATTGTCCCCATTTTACACATGATGTTTAAGCGACCTGCCCAAGGTCATACATCTACCAAGTAAAAGAGTCAGGATTTGAACCCAGGCATTCTTAACTTCTAGACCAGCAATACTAACTAGAAAATTTATTACATAAATACCTTTCATGATAGAGGAAAACAAAACACCAAACCTCTAAAGGATCTAGGAACTAATCAATAATATACAGCACCTCTATGAAGAAGGGAAAGAAGATGAATTAAAATAAACAGACATTCCATGCTCTTGGATGGGACAAATGAATATTGAAACAACCTTTTCTAAATTAATTTATATAATCCTAATATAGAAACAATAAAATTCCACATATAGACAAATCAACTATTTGAACAGAAGAGCAAAGGGGATTCTTGGCCTACAAGATATTAACACATACTACAAAAGTCTCAGACATTAAAATACGAGGGAGTTAGTCTAAGAAAAGACAAGTAGTCCAATGGAACAGAACAAGGCTCAGAAACAGAGCCATATAAAAGTTTGGAATGTAGTATACAATAAAGTTAGCACACAAATCAAGGGGGAATGAATGCATTTAGTACCTAACACTGGTGAATCTGGCTCATTATATGAAGAAAAATAAAACTGTATACCTATAAAAAGGTATATACACATACAAAGGAGGACCCATGATGGTAAATAAGAATGGTAAAACCTAAACAAGAGTGGTAAAACCATATAGTCAATAGAACACAATGCAGAAGAACATCTTTGTGACTTAGGGCCAGGGAAAGACTTCTTAAATAAAAAAACACAAAGCACAAGAACAAAAAATGATGAATTTAGTCACAACAAAATTAATCATTTCTGGGTTGAACTAAAGACATCAAGAACAAAGTTAAGTACAAATTAACAACAAATAAAAGGTAGCAACCTCAGTAAAGAAATGGGCAAAGGACAAAAATATTCAGTTTAGGGCCAGCCCGGTGGCGTAGTGGTTAAGTGTGCACATTCCGCTTTGGTGGCCCAGGGTTCGCGGGTTTGGATCCCGGGTGCAGACATGGCACTGCTTGGCACGCCATGCTGTGGTAGGCGTTCCATATATAAAGTAGAGGAAGATGGGCATGGATGTTAGCTCAGGGCCAGTCTTCCTTAGTGAAAAGAGGAGGATTGGCAGCAGTTAGCTCAGGGCTAATCGTCCTCAAAAAAAAAAAAATCCAATTTACAAGACAGAAAATCCACAGGCCACTAACTATATCACGTTATTCTGTTAGTTTAGAAAAAATTAGAAAACTGGACAATGCCAAGTGTTAGTGAGGAGGCTGAAGGAACTCCTTAAGGAACCAGCACTACTGGCGGGTTTACAGACTGGGGTAACCTTTCTGAGGAGGAATTCTGGCAGCACTCCTTAGCCAAACTGAGTATTTGCATGTCTCACAACCCAGCAATTCTACTCTTGGGAATCTACTGCAAAGAGATTCTTCATAAGACCAATATGTACCCTGAAGCTTCATCTTTGACGGTAAGGAATTAGAAGCATTCCAGGTTTCCATCATGGAGGAGTGGATAGGTAAGATGTGGTGAAAGCAAATTAGAAATATACACAGCAACACAGATGCACTAAAGGCATAGCTGTAAATGAAAATAGCAAAAAACAAAATATCAACATCTCATCTATGCCATTCTGTAGGAGTGATTTCCAAAATGAAAGTCAGTAAACATCTCTAGTTTCGAATACATACTGATGTGCTTTTAAGGCCATATGGTACGGCTTCATGTCAGTAATATTCCTCTAAAGAATATTTCTCTGGCTTCCACACATTCTTTTAACTAATTCAGTTCCCAGCAGTGTGTGGCACATATTAGGCGCTTAGTAAATTTTTTGAAAGAATTAATGGGAGAATTACAAAGGTCTACTGTAAGTAACAGTACAAGCATATGCTATTTTTATTCTAGGCAGATAAAAATTCCCAAATTATATTCAGGTAATTTGGTAATATGTTGGACAAAGACAAACGAAACAATTTTTTTAAAGCAGGATCAACAAAGAGGATGTTATTAAAGCAATATAAGAGGAACTGCTTATAACTTCATCTTTAAGAATATGAATGCAAATACTTTGAAGTTTATAATATTATTACCCAGTTCAATCTGAAAACAAAAAAATTCAAAACACACCATAAGTTTTCATTTTACTAATTGAGACAGGCGAAGCTGTTAGCTTTTAATTCTTCTGTCCTCTTACATCCTTACTATTTTCATTTATGCCAGATTCCATCAGCAAGATTATTAATTGGCTATACTTCAGTTACTATGTTACTCAAAGCACTCTTTAAAAGGCTCTCTACATTTTTTAGCAGAAATAAGACAGTCTCTTTGAAGGCATGTATAAATTCGAGTGAACTCATCACTGTTACTCCTTTACATTCCATGTGCATAATTTTCCCATATCAAAAGTGAATTAATCGCACCTACTCTATACACTCCCATGTATAATTTACCTTTAAAGAATGATTTTTCTGTAATTTCAGAACTAAACAGCCCTACCATAAAAATTCTTTAGTTTTGTTATTTCTTCAACTATGGTAAACTAAGTTTACCAAGAACAGATTTATTCCCATAGTTGCTATTATTTGTTCTTTTTTCCCACAGCACTAAAAGCAAAAGTCAAGACACAGGTAAGCTTTAAGGCAGTGACACTGATGTTTAAGTTTAATATAGCAGCTTTTTTATCAGCTTTATTGAGGTATGACTGAGAAGTTTTATATATTTAACATGTACAATGTCATGTTTTTTGACATATGTATTCACTATGAAATGATTACTACAATCAAGCTAATTAACATATTCATCACCTCAGTTACCATTTTTGTGTGAGTGTGGTAAAAACACTTAAGATCTACTGTCTTAGCAAATTTGAAGTAGACATAATTATTAACTATAGCTACGATGCTGTACATGAGGTCTCCAGAACTCATTCATCTTATAACTAAAAGTTTATACCCTTTGACCAGTATCTCATTTCCTCTATCCCCCAGCCATTGGTAATGACCATTCGTCTTCTTGTTACCATGAGTTTGAGTTGACTTTTTTAGATTCCACATATAAGTAGGAGCATGAAGTACCTGTCTTTCTGTGTCTGGCTTATTTTGCTTAGTGGAATATCCTCCAGGTTGTTCAAATTCTAGGATTTCCTTCTTTATTAAAATCGAATGGTATGCCATTGTGTATGTGTGTGTATACACACATATATGTATACCACATCTTTACCATTCACCCTTCTGATGGACACTTAGGCTGTTTCCGTATCTTGGCTTGTGAATAATGCTGCAATAAACATGGGAGTACAGATGTGGCTTTGAGATAGTGATTTTATTTCCTTTGAAATATGTCCAGAGAGAACTGAGATTGCTGGAGCATATGGTAAATATTTTTATATTTTTTGAGGAAACTCCATACTGTTTTCTATAATAGCTGTATCGATCTACGTTCTCATCAACATGAACAGATTCCCTTTTTTGAACAACCTCACCAACACTTATCTTTTGACTTTTTCTTTTTTTGAGGAAGACTGGCTCTGAGCTAACAGCTGTTGCCAATCTTCCTTTTTTTTCCCTTTTCTCCCCAAAGCCCCAGCACACAGTTGAATATCCTAGCTGTGAATCATTCTAGTTCTTCTATGTGGGATGCTGCCACAGCATGGCTCGATGAGTGGTGTGTAGGTCTGTGACCAGGATGTGACCCAGGGAACCCTAGGCTGCCAAAGTAGAGCAAGTGAACTCAACCACTTGGCCATGGGACCAGCCCCTTGACTTTTTGATAACAGTCATCCTAACAGGTGTGAAGTGATATCTTACTGTGGTTTTGATTTGCATTTCCCTGATGATTAGGGATGTTGAGCATCTTTTCATATGATCATTTGTATGTCTTCTTTGGAAAAATGTTTATTTAGGTCCTTTGCTCATTTTCTAATACGGTTATTTGTTTTTTTTGAGTGGTATGAGTTCCTTATATATTTTGAATATTAACTCCTTATGGGCCACAAGGTTTGCAAATATTTTCTCCTATTCCAAAGGTTGCCTTTTCATTTTGAAACCCAGTATCTTTTTTCTTGTTTTTCAGATTATAATGTTAAAAAATACTGAAAAAAACCCCATGCTATTAATCCTAAAAAAAAAAAAAAAAAAAAAATCTAATCTAAATATACTTAGGCTGACCTCTGGTGGCCAGACCTCTCATCCTTCAGTAACTGACAAATGGTCTGAGGTCATCTCTCATTTGTGGTGAGACAGTCATATAAAAAAAAGGAAACAATATTGTTAGAAACTTCACAAACAAAGCAACAAAGGTAGCAGAGATCTAAAGCATAAAGAAAGCTGAGTAATTAAAGGCCATGGATTAAGAAAAATGCCTCCAAATATTAGTTTGTTTTAATTTTTAGTTTACCAGTTGACTTTACACAAAAAATGAACGGTATATACGGTGGTTCTCAAAGTAAGAATGTATAGTTCTGCACTGCCCAGTACTGTAGCCACTAGCCACATGTGCCTATTGAGCACCTGAAATATGGCTAGTGTAAAATAATATCCAACTTTAAAGACTTAGTAGGGAAAAAAACAAAGTAAATGATCTCATTAATAATTTATGTTATAGGGGCTGGCCCCGTGGCCGAGCGGTTAAGTTTCCCCACTCTGCTTTGGCAGCCCGGGGTTCGACAGTTTGAATCCCGGGCATGGACACGGCACAGCTCACCAAGCCATGCTGAGGCGGCATCCCACATGCCACAAGTAGAAGGACCTACGACTAATACACAATTATGTACCAAAGGGCTTTGGGAGAAAAAGGAAAAAATAAAATGTTAAAAAAAGTTATGATATTACATGTTGAAATGATAATATTCTGGATATACTTGGTTAAAAAATTAATGCACTTTCTAGGTTTCTTTCACCACAGCTTTCCAGGCATTCTACATTTTAGCTCTAGTGAGATTATAAATGTTATCTGTATATGTATTCCATGCATTCTTAGGCCTCTATGCTTTTGCTCCAGGATTAACCTAAAATACTTATCCTTCTTGCCTTTCCAGACATTAGACATCTTGCAATTTTTAAATTACTGGCAACCCAAATGCTACCATATTCATTACTTTAACTAGCATTTGAATACCTACAATGTTTCAGGAATTAGGAATACGAAGGAAGAGAATGGATGAATAAATTACGGCATATTCATACAATAGAATACTACAGCAACCTGTGTCTCAGTTTCCTCATCTCAAAAGGAGACAGAAGTTACCTTACAGGGGTTGTTTGTAAGGATTAAATGAAGAGTTTATAACACTGCCTAGCACATAAGAGTCCATAAGGTGTAAGCTATTAATATAAAAGTATCAATATGAACAAACCTCGAAAAAACTGATTGGAAAAAGCAAATTGCATATATGATTACTCATATGTTAGGACATGAAAACAATCCAGCATACTTATTCTGAGATTTATTCATATGTCGTTAACACAAAAATTAACAGTAAATTCAGAAAATCCGTTACAGCTGGGAAGGAAGGTAATTCAATAGGAAAGGGCTGAACGGGCGGCTTTGTAATCTATTTAGCTGTATGTGGGTACTGAGATGTTCGTTTTGTCTGATGTAATTCCGTTGTTTTTAAAAAAAGCTTAAAGACTTAGTTCTTGCTCCAAGGCACTCCAAATTTCTTATCTTAACCACTACACCAGACACTTTTCCATTCTCTGTGTTCTCCTTGGTTGAAGGCCATGTCGTTCTGCACCTTAGTAACCAGGCCTCGAAAGCCGCTACATTTACAATAAGCTGGGCCTAATTACATCGCGCCTCGCTGCGCAGCAGTCCCCAGACTGCTCCCCTCCTTTGCAGACCCGCCACAAGCCGAGGACCTAAGGCTTAACAGGACAGCGGCCGCCTCCAGCAGGAGGCCTCGGGTCGTCCCCCTTCTCCGCAGAAGCCGGGCCGCTGGCAGCCCTCCAGCACGCCCCATCTTCCCCCTCTCGAGGGATCTCCAAGGAGCCCCTCCTCCCGGGATCCCTGCTCCCCTTCAGCCGGAGCAGGGACTGTTCCCCTCACCAGACTCCCTGTTCTCACCCATGGAGGATCCTGTCTTCTTTCGCGCCTCACGCCCAGCCGCAAGACCCACCTAGGCCTAGCGCCACCAGCTCTGTCCCAACAGTCGCACCGCCGCTCCGCTCGCCCTCCCTGCTCACACCACTTTCGGGCGAGCCCGCGGTCCCTCCTCTTGGAAACGCCCCTTCCCACCCAGACGAAGGCTGGATACACCCCAGGCGCATGCGCCCAAACGGCGGGGCTTGAGGTGGGTGGACCCGTCTCTTCCCGCTCTGGCCTCGCGGCGCTCCCACGGCAGTCTCGCGGTGTTTCCTTCGCCCGCGGGAGATTTTTGAACGCTGGGGCGGTAACCGCGCCCTGGGCGCCCAGCGGCCGGCTGATAGGAGGCTGAGGCGGTTCTGTGGAGACTCGGCCGGTGGTGGGTCCGGCTGCGGCGGCCGCACGCGGACGGGGCTCGTGCCCGCGGGGTCCCGGCGCCATGGGGGTGGAGAAGAGGCTGCTGCCGATTAAGGAGGCCTTTCAGCTGGCGCAGCAGCCGCACCAGAACCAGGCGAAGCTGGTGAGGGCGCTGAGCCGCACCTACGGCCTGGTAAGCGCAGCCGGCCCGCGGCCCCGGCTCCCCGCCGCCCCCGCCAGCCTCCCCCAGGGCCGCCCGTGACCCTCTGGACTCGGCGCGCCGCGACTCCAACCTCCTTAACCCTCCCGACCCGGTTCAGCGGAGGAGAGGCCTGGGGACTCGCCGAGGTCGCCCGGGCACCCCTTCATCCCAGCGGCCGCCGGCGCGGACCGTTCATCCTTTATCGGGCGGTGAACGGGGAGGGGAAGGTTTCCGAGCGCCGGGCTCCGAGTGTCCGCCGAGGGGGGCTTCCGGACGCGGTCGTCGTGGTCCCCGGGTCACCGCCGACCGCCAGTCAGATGGTTCTCCCCTCGCCCCGCCGTTAGGACGCTGAATCAGACCACCGACGAACGGCTGCGTCCTTAGCACCCGGCTCTCCCTGGGCGTGTCAGGACTGGTTGGTTGGCGGGCGGGGGGGTGGTGTAGCTGTGAAAAGACAATGAATTTCGGGAAAATAAATGATTTTGAAGTCCAAGAAAAATTGTAAGCCAATATAACAGGGCTCGAGGATATGAGATAGGATGTGAAGTTATGTCGAGAGGAAATTGATGTGTAAGTAAGGCTAAATATGGTAAAATGTAAAAGCCGCTGTTGATTTTGGGCTGTTTGTGAAGCATATTTAAACCGGTACCAAGGCGTATCGAGAATTCAAGGGTATTGAAAAGAAGAAACAAAGCACCAAAGGAATCTTTTCATTGTCCAAATTCACGTTTGTTTTCTCCCTGGGAAAAGTACATTTCCCTGGAGAGAAATTCGTGCCAATTTACGTCCCCTTTGATGGTTTGTATAATTGAGAGTTTCCTAAAGAATGATTTTAGCTTGGCCGTTTACGGCTAGTGCTTTCAGCAGTCTTAGGGTAATGCTGGGAAAAGAGGATTTTATCCGTGCAGTTTGCGAAGCGTTTCTTTTGTCTTTCAGGTGGGTAATAAAATAGTTTTTCATGAGGAGTTCGTTCATTACCTTAAATATGCGATGGTGATCTACAAACGAGAACCAGCTGTGGAGAGGGTGATAGAATTTGCAGCGAAGTTTGTTACTTCGTTTCACCAATCAGAGACGGAAGATGATGAGGAAGAGGAAGATGGTGGCCTTTTAAATTACCTATTTACTTTTCTATTAAAGGTATTATGAAAACTAGAACTTTGGGGAAGTATTGTAGAAAATTGTACTATATTAAAAGGGGTTTGGAAGTTTGTGTATTTTAGAGAATGAAATACCTGGTATTTGAGAACGTCTGTGAACGTCCCCCTTTTATAGGAAATATTAGAACTGTCATGAAGATTAAAAGGTGGATTTTTAAAATAACTCCAGCATTAAATATTTAGTGTCTTCTCTAAACAGTTCTCACATTTGTTTTAAATGAGTTCTCTGTTTTGGAAGAGAAGTTCCAACAAAGAGGAATGTGCTCTCGTAATTTAGCAAATACTTCTGACTGGACTGTGTGTGTTTAGTATTCATATGGGCCAAGGTAGCATTATGGTTTCTCTGCAAGGAATGAATTACTGTTGTAACTTCTTGAATGCTAAACATATAGAATTCAAATGGTATGTGGTTATTTAGTAGTGATATGTGACTGAATACATTTTGATTTGTTTCTGTTTCAGTCTCATGAAGCAAACAGCAATGCGGTTAGATTTAGAGTGTGCCAGCTCATAAACAAGCTTTTGGGAAGTATGCCAGAAAATGCCCAGATTGATGATGATTTGTTTGATAAAATTAATGAAGCCATGCTTATTAGATTGAAAGATAAAATTCCAAATGTGAGGATACAGGCAGTTCTTGCTCTTTCACGACTTCAGGATCCCAAAGATGATGAATGCCCAGTGGTTAACGGTATGTGTAGCTCCCTAATCCTTTTTCAGTCTCCTTGACTTTGTTAAGTTCTCATTAGACAAATTTTTTATTATGAATTATATATATATGGAAGTATAGGTTTTATATATATATTATTAAAAAAATACCCAAGTAGCCACCATCTAACTTAAAAAAATAGGTTTCAAGGTACTGAAGATGCTCTATCTTACATCCTATTCAAATTACATACATCACTATCCCTCAGAGTTAACCATTATCCTGAATTTTGGGTTAATTATTCTATGTTTAAACAATTAACGACATGTGAGTATCGCTAAATAATGTTAAATTTTGCCTATCATTTTGTATGCTATATGGATCATAGTATATTTTTCTGTGCTCTCAACATTATTTCTAATTGTAACATTCATCCATGTTGATATATTTACTTACTGTTGTATTGCATTCTGTTGTATGAATGTAACACAGTTTATTATTTCTAATATTGATGGACCTTCTAGTTGTTTCCATCATTTTGCTCTTTAAAAAGTGTTTTTCTTATGAGCTTTCTTATACAGACTTCTGGTGCACAGGTTAAAGTTTTCCTAGGGTATTTACCTAGGGGTGGCCTTCTTGGGATATGTGCGCATTCAGCTTTCTTAGATAAGGTACAAGTGGAACAAGTGTTCTACAAAACAATTTACCAGTTAACATTCCCACTAATAGTGCATGAAAGTGTTCATTGATGCATATCCTCTCCAGTGTTCTGTACTGTCAGATTTTTAACTTTTTGTTAATCGGGTTATGTATATGATATATGTCATCGTTATGCATCTTTTCCTATGTTTAGCAGCCAATTATATTTCTTCTATATAGTGCCTGTTAAAGTGTTCTGCCCATTTTTCTGTTGGTTTGTCTTAGTGATATATTGGAATTCTTTATATATTCTGAAATGAAAACTTTGGGTTATATGAATTTTAGATTTCTTCCTACTTTAAATGGCTTATTGTTTCACTCTCTTTTGGATGTCTTTTGTTCAAAAGAGATTCCTGATGCCAAAATTATCAGCACATTTTTCCATACATGCCTTCCACTTTTCTATATATGCCTACGTGTATTTCAGGCAGTTATCTGTTTCATTTTTCTGTTTGTCCCTGTTACTAGCTTTATAATCAGTTTTGATAACTGATGGTAGTTGATATTTTTTGGTGTTAAATGATACACATAATATTGTATAAAACATACACATTTAGTAGTCAACACATACTTGATTATAAAGCTGGGGAATATTTGAGAAGTAGAGGTGAATACATATTTAAATACAGAAAATGGGTTTTGTTTTAATGAGTAAAACTAGAAGTTATTTCTTTATAGAACTCATTAAAAATCAAAATAATGAACCCTTTATAAAGCGCTATCAGTTTAAAATAAACTATCTGCTGCACTAGACTTTCTTCTAAATCCTGAAGAATAACGAAGACGTAATCTTGATGGATTTTCCATGATCTTTAGGGCTATTTGTTTTTAGTTTCAGCCTACATGCCCAGTCCGTTGGCTAATTTCTCATTCTGTCATTTTTAAGGGAAGTTGGTAAAAAAAAATCTTCAGCTAAAATTAAATATGTAAAACTAAAAAAATGCTGTCTTTATTATTTCAGGTACATTATTAAATATCAAAATATGGGCTATCTTATGGCTGTCGTTAAATAATATTTAGTGTACTAAAATGTATTGCTCTATTTTTAGCATATGCTACTTTGATTGAAAATGATTCAAATCCAGAAGTTAGGCGGGCAGTGTTATCGTGTATTACGCCATCAGCAAAGACTTTGCCAAAAATTGTAGGGCGCACCAAGGATGTGAAAGAGGCTGTCAGAAAGCTGGCTTATCAGGTAAATAAGTCCACTGTCTTGTGTAGGTATATTCTTACAAGAAGCCATATTCTTAAAATACTTTTAAAAAATATTTGGCACATAATTATGATTTCTTCAATTGAAATTTTTACGGATGGAGAGTATAGGTAATTTTGGTAGAATCTTATTGTATTAAATGTGTTACCAGCTATTAATCTTTTTGGAGATTTCTGGGTAATTTTCTTAGATGAAGGAGGTATTAACTAGTTGTGAAATATATAAGGTATGTTGAGTTTAGTGACCATCTTTTTATTATTATCTCTTTAAGGTTTTAGCTGAAAAGGTTCATATGAGAGCTATGTCTATTGCTCAGAGAGTAATGCTCCTTCAACAAGGTTTTAATGACAGATCAGGTAAGACATATCTTTATATACAAAACTAGTCGATTTTGAGGTCAGACTTTAAAGGTTTAGGAAACAAGTGTCCTAAAGTAGGTCAGGTAAGCCTATCATTCCCACAGTCTGTCGATGTTTATTTTGGTGTATTGTATAGAAAACATTTCCTAAGGTTAAAGATCTTGGTACTTAGAAGGAGCAGAGTTTGTTTCAATTTTCCTGTGTTTTACACTTGGAGAAACTACAGTTTAAGGCTATAGAGCTAATTTAAATCAGAAGTAGGGCAAGATCCCTTTTTCAGCCCTCTCTTCTCCTTTAAAGAAAATGCTATCTATCCTCTTTGTGTGTATCTTGTTGTTAATGTGTTCTGTATCAGGAACAGCAATTGGGAATGATCAGACCAGTATAATTTTCATAGGTTTGTTTTTGTTTTCTTTTTCTCTGTTAAAACCAGAGAATCTGCTTACAGGAGTGATATATTTTAAATTTCCAATCCCCAGGGGAAGGCTAAGATGGCTTAATTTTGCAGTAGCAAGAACCTTGAGTTTGGAAACATTAATTGTCAGAGGATTAATGACTAGGATAACTTTAAGAACTAAGAATAAGATTTGTTCAGAGATCCATGCTTCTGTGATTCACTATTGCAAATAGCAATCATGAGTAATAGATGAAGTCAGGCAACAAGTGAAATAATGAGTATTATATAGTAATAGATCAAGTCAGGTAACAAGTGAAATAATGAGTATTATATAGTAATAGATCGAGTCAGGTAACAAGTGAAATAATGAGTATTATATAGTCTGGATTAACACCTGAGACCCAGTGAACCCAGGGGAGAAGGAATGTAGCTATTTTTGTAGGATGTGATAGTGGTTGGTATTTGATTCTGACCTTTTCCATTTTTATTTGGAAGTGAACATCATAGTGACTTTTGCAATATCACTGTACTTTTATTTTTTCTTTAGCATGCTTTGTTCTGCCTCTTAGTCTCTTCCCATTATTATTGTAAATATCGACTTTATGTTGACAACTGATGGATAGAAGTTAATTAAAACAGACGAAATACAGGAAATGGAAGCTAGAGGGAGCCTCTGTTCACCTGTTTCAAATAACTTAACAGATGCTGTGAAACAAGCAATGCAGAAGCATCTTCTCCAAGGCTGGTTACGTTTCACTGAAGGAAATATATTAGAGTTGCTTCATCGGTTGGATGTGGAAAATTCTTCTGAAGTGGCCATCTCTGTTCTCAATGCCTTGTTTTCGGTGACTCCTCTTAGTGAACTGGCAGAAATCTGTAAAAATAATGATGGCAGGTATATACAGTATTCATTATTTGGAATGTGATACTGATGAACTTCTTCAATTAAAATTAATCCCTTCTCCCATTGCTTTAGATTGTATCAATACTTTTTATCTACTCCTCTTTAGTTTTGTTTACTCTGGTGGATGTCTTTTTTTCACGTTTTTTTCTCCTTGTGTAAGAACTCACTACTTTATCAGAGACTACTTTAGCTGCATTTATTTTTTTTCCATTTTGTTACTTTTATTTTCGCATTAACCTACCGTGGAAAGTCCAACAACATGTGTCCCTATTGTATGTTTGCTCATCTGATTCTTTTTTTTTTTCTTTTGGTCTAAATATTTTCATTTTTTGTGTGGATAAGTTAATGACTTTGCAATTAAAAGGATGGTGGTTATAAATTGTCTACTTATTTCCATTTTTCTACTCAGTTCAAATCTTTAACTTAATATTAAGATCTTGCTTTCTTTTAATTCTCTCCCTTTTAAATGAAGGAAATTGATTTCATTGGAAACATTAACTCCTGAAATTGCTTTGTACTGGCGTGTCCTTTGTGAATATTTGAAATCAAAAGGAGATGAAGGTGAAGAATTTTTAGAGCAGATTTTGCCAGAGCCTGTAGTATATGCTGAGTATTTATCAAGGTAAAATTTTTTCCTTTGGTTTGGACCATACTTGTGTTGTTGTATTATGTCAATCTCCCAGCTCCCTCCCTCAAAGTCATGCTTGATTGGGAATACATTAAAAACCATTTTTTGGAACAGCCAGGGATAAATGGGTATGCATATTGTGTCTTTCTAAAGAATATCCCGTGGGGGGTCAGTATACTGAAAGAGCAAGGTCAGTATGTGTAGGGGACATTTCCTTAAAACTGTTAAGATATGAACATTTCTCCATAAAGTTGGTAATGATGATATGTTACTCTTTGAAATTGGTTGGCAAACTTTTCCTAAGTGTCAGATAGTAAATATTTGAGAGTGTGTGGTCATACTGTTTCTGTCACAATGACTTAACACTCCTGTGGTAGTGCAGAAGCAGCCAAAGACGATATGTAATGAATGAATATGACTGTTTTCCGATAAAACTTTTAGTGACTTTAATGGATATTAAAATTGGAATTTCGTGTATTTTTCTTGTGTATATTTTCACATACATATATATATTTTACGTACATATATATTTAAATGGTAAATTATATATATGTAATTTTGTATATAATTATATATATAACATATATAATTAATAATAAAACTTTTTATATATATAAAATATATGCTGTAAAAATGTAAAAATGTTAGCTTGCAATCTACAAAAACAACCAGTAGGCCAGACCTGATTCATGGGCCATAGTTTTCCAACTTGACAGGGTAGGACCTTTGCGGCCAGTTTTACTGTTACTTGAAACTGTTACTGGCCAGCCCTGAGGCCTAATGGTTAGTTCTGCACACTCCACTTTGGTGGCCTGGGTTCGGTTCCCGGGTGCTGACCTGTACCACTTATCATTGGCCATGCTGTGGCAGCAACCCACATACAAAATAGAGGAAGTTTGGCACAAATATTAGGGTGAATCTTCCTTAGCAAACAACAACAACAACAAAAAAACCGGTTACTATTTGGCTTTTTGTTTTTTGAAGCTTTTTCAAAATATACCTTTAAATTATTTCAGTTATTCTAATTTCTAACTCATTTCACTTTAAAATTGCACAAGTAAAACATGAATGCATTCTTGTTAAAATTCAAATACGGAAGTATATAGAATAAAAATGTGGGATTTTAGAATAAAACTGGAATTTCCTCTTATCTAATTTCTCAATCCCATTGATCTCTTTAGAGTTAACAGCTAGACAGTTTGGAGTGTGGACTTCCAACCCTCTTTCACTACATATACAGATATTAAATGCATAAATTTTTAAAAAAAATATGACATGTTATACATATTGTTTTGGGTTTTTTCCAACTACTTATATCTGAGGTCATTGTATGTTGGTGCATATAAATCTATCATAGTCTCAGTAATAGCTTATACCATAGCATGGTGATAATATCTAATTTACTCCTCTGTTGATGGACATTTAAGGTTTTTCCAGTTTTCACTGATAAAGGTGTGTTAAACTTTCTTCTGCATTTTATGTACATGTGGGATTTTGTGGGGATAATTCCCAGAAGTGGAATTGCTAAGTCAAAGGTTATGTATATTTTTATAGATACTGGGGTATACATTTTTAACTTTATGCTTTTGATGCTTTTTTGAAACATTTTTTCCATGTAATATGAATTTTGGGCCTGAATTCTTTTTGTATGAAATACAGTATTCTGTTTTTTCTTATAATGATCCCACATATAAGTTAAGGAGCAAAGCTATGAATGCATTTGAATTTTGTATGCAACATATTGAATCCAGGATAAATATCTTAAATTTGAGCCAATATGAAAACTTATAGCTTGAGCTCATGGTAACATCATGAAAAACGTGTGAATCTACTAAATGTTATTTTTGTTTGTTTTGTTTTGTTTTTTTGCTGAGGAAGATTAGCCCTGAGCTAACATCTGTGTCAGTCTTTCTCTATTTTATATGTGGGTTGCTGCCACAGCATGGCTGGCAGGTGGTATAGGTCTGTGCCTAGGATCTGAACCTGCCAAAGTGGAGCGTGCCAAACTCAACCACTAGGCCATGGGGCCAGCCCCCTAAGTGTTTTAATAGTGATTATTTCAGGCTTTAACATTTAATTAGAGTATTCATTATAATACTGTTTAGGGCATGTTGAAATGTTTCCAAAAGGAATGAATTTGATGCAAGTTTAATAATATGTATTAATACAAAAGTAATAAATGCTTCTAGGAGATAGGGAAATACAAGAAAATATGAGGAAATGTTAAATATTTAAATAACATAGAGTGGGATCCTTACAAGGACTGCTTCACAGATTGGTTAATTCTTAGTCACTGAGAAATGACATGTAAAGTGCTTGGTTCCTCTGGCTCTCTTATGTTTCCTTTGTCACAATCTGTGAGTTTTGAAATAAGTGACTTTAATCAACTTGTTTTTTCACTTATAAAGAGGAAAACTTTAAAAATCATATTTTAATTATTATTGAAAGAATACTTAAGATCACTAGATAGGATTGGTTTACTCAGATACAGAAACGAAATTAAATGGAAAAATTGTTGCCTGATAATCTCAGAAATATATTTTCACGTGTTTTGTAGCAGGAAGAGTTAGTGACTCAGAACTCTGATATGAAAGAATTTCCTGTTAAACTGAGGTATTCACATAAAGAGAGAAATCAGGGATATTAAATGAAGCTTATCAAATTCGAGTAAGAAAAAGGGACACTAATACAATTTTTAGAAAGCTACCTTAAATATAAATTCTTGCAGAGAGCTTTAAAAAAGGCTTTCTTGAATGGTCTCTTCATTATAATAAATATCTTTTAAAATGGTTAAAAAGAGATGATGTGGTAATTAAAACTGATGGGTTTGTTTTAAGTTGTATTTATGCAGGTCAGGATTTGTAATCTATTAATGAAACAACTACTCTTTGAATTTATTTTTTATTATTTTTTTGCTGAAGAAGAATCTCCCTGAGCTAAGATCTGTTGCCAAGCTTCCTCTTTTTATATGTGAGTTGCTACCACAGCATGGCCACTGATGAGTGGCATAGGTCTGCACCCAGGAACCAAACCTGGCTGCTGAAGTGGAGTGTGCCAAACTTAACCACTAGGCCACTGGGACTGGCCCTGAATTTATTTTAAAACATGCCTTCAGTCTTGATGCTATGTGTTGTGCTAAAGCTGGGGTGGAGAAGTAGGGAGGGATTCAAAGATGAGTAAAAGTTTTTTATCATGTCAGAAATCAGTCTATTGATTTTGATAATTATCAGTTTTGTAGTTTTTCTTCTAGTTTTTTGTTCTAGTTTCCTGGTAGAACCTAAAGGGCAGCTGATGCCCTTGAAGGTCCTAATCTCATGGCCAGAAATTTAGGAGCTTTTATTTACTCTTGGTTATCATTTCATAAGACAAGTCAATTTATTCATCATATATAATTCTGTATTTTCTATAATTTGGCTTTTGTTCACATTTTAAAAATGATAATTTTTCATCAGGATTGTTGTTTTTCATACTACTTCCAACCTAGTTGTCTAAGTTTAAACTCTTAATTCTGCTTTTAAGTGGCTTTTTTGCTTCACACAAAGAGAGACCTTCTTGTAGGCTATTGAATATTATCTAGGTGAGGATTATAAAAGATTTAATTTGGGCAGTCAGAGTAAGAATAAAAGGGTAGTGGAGGTGCTTGTTTAATAGCATCTATATTAAAATAAGAACCATACAGAGATTAGTAGGGCCCCTAAGCAAGGATAATACAAATTCATGAAGTTATCTATATTTTTCTGATTTTTTAAAAGGTCATTGTATTAATGGATTTCTTGTGTAATTGCTGTTATTATTACTACCACTGTTCTTTTAAACAAAAGGATAATTGCTAATTAGGGACGATGAGGGAAGACTAGGTCTTTCTGAAGAATTGGGTTTTTGGAGAAAGGATTTAGACCTTTATAATTGAGAAACTAGTGATGTTGAAATAATTAGTTACCAATTTGAGAGACATAAATATGTACCTTTTGAAAATTTCCCCTAGGAAAGTTGAATCTTTAACGAAAATACGTTTTCCAGATTCTTTTGATTCAAGCCAATAAGTTTGTTTGTGAAAGTTCATGACAATAGCATAGAATTTACTCTAGAACAAATTAATATAACATAGTATAAAAATCCATATATTTCGACTAATATGAACTGAAAAAGACCCTTTTCTGACCTAATGGGGGAATTGTTTAATGTTCTCAACAGATTCTACATTTTATTAATTCTGCTTATTTTAGTTATATTCAGAGCATTCCAGTTGTTAATGATGAACAGAGAGGTGATTTTTCCTATATTGGAAATTTGATGACAAAAGAGTTCATAGGTCAACAATTGATTCTAATTATCAAGTCTTTGGATACCAGTGAAGAAGGAGGAAGGTATGTCTAAGCGTTAACCCTTGTTCTAATTTGCTCTTCTAATTTCCTATATTGAAATTTGTCTTGTTATAATATGATTAAATATATTTAACCTAGCTCTCTAAAGTGCTATAAAGGTTTTCTCTTTTTATGTATGTAATTTATGAGAGGAAATACAACCTGTCTCTCTCTCTCTCTCTTTCTGTTTATATATAGAAATATGAGTTCCTAATTCAGTTTCTTCAGAAGAAATTAATAAAATTGCAGGTATTTGCTTAGAAATCTCTATTTGTATTTATTACAGAGAGGACTAGTAATACTATCTAAAAGATTTGATTCACTTCTGGTATTTTGTCATTTCATCATGTTGATTTATGAAATATTGTAGGGTAATTTATAAAAATTGTTTTTTTGGCAGAACATGAATTTTTGACCTAAAGTCTGTACATCTATTTTTATACCTATAGTGGTAAATATAAAAAGAACTGTGACAATTGTAATTAAGTCTGCAGAATAGGTGACGTGTTAGAGATAAAATGTGTTTCTACAGATTAGTTGTTACCGGGGGAAAGGAGGGGTATGGGGGTGGGCACAAATAGTGAAGTGGTGCACCTACAGCACGATTGACAAACAGTAATGTACAACTGAAATTTCACAAGGTTGTATACTATCATCTGAATAAAAAGAAAAAAAAAGGATGTAAAAAAAATGTGTTTCTACTCTCAGATTGAAATTAAAATAGTTCTCTTTGAATGCAGGAAACGACTGCTGGCTATTTTACAGGAGATTCTTACTCTACCCACAACTCCGATATCCCTAATTTCTTTTCTTGTTGAGAGACTGCTCCATATCATTATAGATGATAATAAGAGAACAGAAATTGTAAGTAGTCTTCTTCAATGTTGATAAAGTTAAGAGGTTTTGGTCAATGACATTGAGGATTGTCTTATTTTCTTTTCAGTACCTTTTGCTTTACTTGTCTTTAATTGCCTTTTCTTTTAGTTTTGTCTATCAAGCTTTTACTCTTCTTAAATCTAAATATCTCTCAAACACACACATTTAAAAAATCCTCTTCCTTCTGTTAGCATACCTATCATTGTATTGAATCATTTTGAAAGAGACCAGGTTAGAGAAGAGGTGACATGTGGGTATTGGCCACTAGAGTGTTTGGGAGCTGTCTCAAGTTATACGTAACTGTGTTGAAATCCTCTCTCACACTTCCTGGCTTTGTGACTTTGGGCAAGTTGTTCAATTCAGCCTTTTTACTTGTCTGCAAGATAAGAATAACAATAAAACTTACCTTTCCTTGTTTAATGAAATAATATTCATAAAGAGCTTGGTAAATACAGAAATAAATATTATTATAATATTACTATTTCCAAGTGTTATTTTCTGTGGGGTAGCCAAAAAAGACAGATCTGTATCATTGCTTTTCATAAACTCATAGAATCTCAGAGTTGCAAGTTAATTCAAAAGTTGTTTTTTTTTCAACGCCTCCTTGTACATACATACTTATGCATAAATCTCTTCTACAACATTCCCAGTTAGTTGTTATCCAGCATTTGCTTGAGTACCTTCATTTGGGATGCAGCCTTTTCCTGAACTGGCCAACTGCAATGTCCCAGTGGCTCTGAAAGGAAAGTCTTTAGTTATGCTGTCATTGTTTACACATTGTGTATCCAAAGGAGGAATAAAAGAGTGTTCTATTTTCCTATATTAATCTCCTGTAGAGATTAACAAGGGAGTTGAGGATTTGAGGTAGAGAATTTTAGTGTTATGGTGCCTAAGATTAGACACTATATTCATTTTTTCTGTGTTTTCAAGCACTGTATGAGAGAGAATTTATCTTCAATGTCTGTGTGCCTATTTACCTTCCTGTAATCAGAGATTTTAGTCAGATGTATTGTTTGGTCATTTTTTCTAAAATTGTCTAACAATTAGAATGTGTGCCATTTTTACTTGTATAAAAGTAACCTCTCTATTCAAGAGATTGTGGATACTACGAGTTTTATGTAGCAGTTTGATGTCATTTTCTCATATAGAGCATATATTAATGCATGTACTCTGAATTATACCTTCACTTATCAGGTTACAGAAATTATCTCAGAGATTCGGATGCCCATTGTTACTGTTGGTGTTAATAATGATCCAGCTGATGTAAGAAAGAAAGAACTCAAGGTAAATCTCTTCTAAATTAAAGAAATGCTTGAGTATAATGTATTTGTGCAAGTTTTTTATTTTCTCTTGCTGTATATTTCAAAATTGTTCTCACAAAGTCAAATTATTGATGAACTATTAAACTGTGAGAGTCTTTAAAACATTACCAGATTGTGTCAGTCTGAAAGATTTGCCGATCTCTGTTTCAGGAAGACTACAACTTTGTATATATATATATATATATATATATATATATATATATATATGTGTGTGTGTGCCTGACTGCTTAACTTCTGGGTCCTTGAGATGTTACATAATACTCTTCAGTTTGTTACAGATTTTCGTATTAATAGTTTTTGTTTGGTCAGTTTTCGCACTGAATTTATATCTTTCCTTAGATGGCTGAAATAAAAGTTAAACTTATTGAGGCAAAAGGAGCTTTGGAAAATTGCATTGCCTTACAGGATTTTAATCAAGCATCAGAGTTAAAAGAAGAAATAAAAGCATTAGAAGATGCCAAAATAAACCTCTTGAAAGAGACAGAGCAACTTGAAATTAAAGAAGTCCACGTAGAGAAGGTATTGATAACTTTTTCATACTAAATTTCAGCTGTTATTAATCATCTCAACTAAGCCTTGTTTTCTTTCTTAACTCAGAAAGCTGCCATAGTATATTCACTTTGGAGGGATTTTTAACAGTACCATGAATTAATATGAAAATCTTTTTCCTCTTGTTCCTTTCTATTTTGGACTTTTAAAGGCCTTAATTAAGTTTAATTATTGTAGCTAGGACTTTGTTTGCTCCCTTGTCATGCTAATCCCTGGAATCTGAGGTTTTTCTTCCTTGCCAAGGAAACTTGCTTTTCAATGGTTTCCTTCTGTTTTGTTTTGTTTTTTGTCTTGAATGGTTTAGACAAGGAAAATGCATCCATTTGTCCATCTTCCGCTTACTTGTGGAAGACTTGTGACCTTTCTGCTGCTTAGAAAAGAATTTCTATGGTAACCATACCATTATACACATATTCTTTTTAAAGTTAAGTAGGTTTGCTATTTTAAATGAAATACTAAACATATATCTAGCAACATTTAAAGCTTAGTTTCAGCAGTATTTCTTTTAACTTAGTTGTATTTGGTAAACTAGTCTTAACGTAAGATAGAATGGTATCAATTACTGTATTTAAATCTTTAATTCAGGAGGTCTTTTAGAATCTTGCCTTTTGTAGTAGACATCATTTATTGTTGTCCTTTTGGTTTTGAAAGTGCTGATTAGAGTATTGCCAGAGAGAATGCTGGATAGGGACGAGTTGACTATACAGGAGTGTTTTGTAAGTTAGGTCCTTGAGCCCTCCAGCCACAGATATCCTCACTCCACACTCCACCTTCCCATGAGTATGCCTGAATTTTATTTTCATAGCTAGTAGCTTATTTCTTTCGTTTGATGAAGTCTGTAAATCATTGTAGGCTTTTAAATTTGAGGAGCAAATTTAAAGTGAAAAATGAAAATATAAACTGAAATGAGATTATTGCAGGTAATATTAGGAAAATATTAACCAAGGTGATCTATCATGATTAGTATCGTCTGTTTAACTGACTTGCTTTGATCATTTATGTGTTCGTTTGTTCTATTTAAGGGGTATAAAATATTACATTACAATTACAGCATGGCATAATGAATGTCATGGTCAGGGAAGTCTATGGGTTTTATGGAAAGGCATCTAACCCAGGTAGGGTGTTGTTGACTTCCCCAGAGGAAGAAATGTTTTAACTTGAGATTTGAATAAAAATAATAATATAAGCTAACAGTTACAGAAATGCTTTTGTTGTGGTAGTCCCTGCTTCAAGCATGTCACAAGTGTGAGTTCATGTGATTCTCACTATAACCTTATAGGGTTGGTGTTATTCTCATTTTATGAGGGGTAAGTAACTTGCCCAAAGTCACACAGATAGTATATGGTAGAGGCGGGATTCAAACCCAAGCCAAGTAGCTTTAGATTTGTGCTTTTAATACATTCTGTGTTGTCCTCGATGAATTGTTAAGGGTATGTTGTAGGCAGGTGGAATGACATATGTGAAGTCCCAGAAGTTAAAGAGTGCCTGTTGTTTTTAAAAACTTTAGGTCCATATGACTAGAGAGTTGAGGGGGAAAGGTTAGAGATTAATCTGGGGGGAAAATTAAGGGCCAGGTCACGTAAGGCCTTGTATAAGCAATATTTAACAATTCATGCCTTACCCAAGGATCATGGTGAAGGGGTTTTAAGTGGTAGGGTGAGATTTATGTCTTAGAAAGATCACTGTTATTCAGGGAATGGATTGCAACATGATAAGAGCCTGGGCAGCCATGCTAGGGAGAAGACTGTTAAAATAATGTATGCTTGAGATGATTGCAGCCTGAAAAAGGTAATGATGGTGAATATTGAAAGATGTGATGGATTTGAGAAGTGTTTAGGAATTAGTAGCAGGGAGAAGAGTGAGTCAAAAATGTATCCTAGGTCTTTTGGATTGGACAGCTGGGTAGATAGCAGTGATATTTATGGAGATAGCGCAGGAGGAGGAGGGATTTGGGTAATGATGAGTTAGTTCCCTTTTGGACATTTTAAGTTTGAGAAGCCTGTGGAACATACAAGAGGAAATGTCTTGTAGCAGTTGTATGTATGAAGACTTAGAAAATAGCTGGGCTAGCTCATAGATAGTAAATGGAGTTGTATGACTGGATAAGATATCCCAGGGATTATGTATAGAGACAATATGCCTTAGACAAAGCCCTGAGAAAGCAAACATTTAAGGGATGGACAGAAGATATTCTTACTAATGCTGAATATTTTGTGTTTCATTTTAGAATGATGCTGAAACACTACAGAAGTGTCTTATTTTGTGCTATGAACTGTTGAAGCAGATGTCCCCTTCAACAGGTATAGGTGCAACCATGAATGGCATCATTGAATCTTTGGTATGTTGGTGGCTTTTGAGGCTTTATTTTAGCCCACTCCTTCCTCATTTTATAATATATTCCTTGTGGTTCAAAGAATGCAATGATGACCAAATGGTAAAAAAATATATGTATAGTGCCTCCTTCATATTGTGAGGGTTAAATTAAGATAATGCATGTAAATGACCTGGTATACAAATTATAATTATTCCTTTAAAAAGTTTGAAAAAATTATGCTGCAAAGAGATGCAGAATATCTTCATTCTTTGAATAGTAAGAGGAAATACTGAAACACGCTGGGAATATTTAAGTACTGGAATCTTGCTATATAGAAAGACTATGAGAAGGTTACATTGTGAGCCCTGTGAGAGCAATTTGTTTATTACTATATATTTAAAGGACACTTTTTACTAAAGTAACCCTTCATAGGTAATCTCCATTTTACTGAACATAGGGACGTAAATACTGCAAGACTCTAGAATAACATTGTTTGATAGAAATATAATGCAAACTACATGTAACTAAATTTTCTAGTAGCTACATTTAAAAAATTAAAGAGACAGGTGAAATTAATTTTAATATATTTAATTTGATATACCCTAAATATTAAAATTTCATCATTTACTCAGTATTAAAACTATTGAGATATTTTACATTCTGTTCTTCATACTAAGTCTTACAGTACATCTCAATCTGGAGTAGTCACATTTCAAGTGTTCAGTAGCCATATGTGATTAGTGGCTATAGTATTAGACAGTGCAGCTCTAGAGTATTTTTGACAGTGCTGCTCATCCAAAGCAAATTTGGAATGTATCCAAGCTCTTCCAGGAGTCTCTTAAAATTGCTTTTGCTTGGGATTAGTCAAAAACAGCCAATGAATGTGATCTAAAATCTAGTTCCTTGGATTGCCATGAGTTTCTAAATGCAGTAAAGAAGACCAAATATTGTTTACAATAGTCTAGAGCTTCTTATTAAAACTAGATTCTAGTAAACCATTAGAATTTAGTTTTATTTTTCGTAAAGCACGTGTCTTTAGTGAAAAGTGATGATTTAAAGTTCTACTTGTGTACTTTGTCTGGTCCTACTGTAAAAGAATGGTGAATTGTGGTATAATTATGCAAGTGAAGTAGGAAATATGAAGATGTAGAAGAAGATAGTGTTGAGCGAAGGAAGAACACAAAGTTGAATGGTCATAGTGATAAGTACGTAATAACAATTTATGTCTAAAGATTGAACGAGGCTAGAGGGATGTAAATGAATAAGGTATTTAGACACAAGGGTTATAATAGTTTTATGAAATTACTATTTTTAAATAAAAATCATAAATTATTAATTGAACAAATATTTGTTGAACATCTACTATATATTGAATGCTAGGGATAGAGTATACAAAACATATATAGACTGCCCTCTTAGATCTACTGGTCAAGTGAGGGGAACATCAATCAAATAAACAAGTGGAAGCTTATGCTAGTGATAATTGTTATAAAAAAGAGCTATATGGTCATATGTGAACTTATAACAGCGGGATTTAATCTGTTAATGGAAGGTGACCCTGATCTGATATTTGAGTAGACTATGTGAAAAGAGGGAAGAATGTTCTAGACCTGCTTTCTCCAATACAATAGCCACTAAGCCACATATGGCTATTAAAAACTTGTGGCTATTTTCTTTGTTTCTTTTTTTTTTTTGAGGAAGACTAGCCCTAAGCTAACTACTGCCAATCCTCCTCTTTTTGCTGAGGAAGACTGGCCTTGAGCTAACATCCACATCCATGCCCATCTTCCTCTACTTTATACATGGGACACCTACCACAGCATGGCTTTTTGCCAAGTGGTGCTGTGTCTGCATCTGGGATCCGCACCTGGGATCCACACCGGAGAACCCAGGGCTGCCGACAAGCAGAACATGCGAACTTAACTGCTGTGCTATTGGGCTGGTCCCAAACCTGTGGCTATTAATAACGAGTCCAAAATGAGGTGTGCTACAAGTGTATAAGTATGTTGGGTTTCGAAGACTCAGTACAAACAACAGAAAGTAAATTATCTCAATTTTTAATATTGATTACATGTTGCAGTGATAATATTTTGGTTATACTGAGTAAAATAAAATATATTAAAATTAGTTTTACCTGTTTTTTACTTTAATGTGGCTACTAGAAAATTAAAGATGACATGTGGCTTGCATTATTTTTCTACTGGATAGTACTGAGTGGAGGGCATCCAAGTCAGACCAGTTGAATAAGCAGAGAGCAAGAGGTAGCATGGTATAAGATGATACTCGGAAAGAGTACACAATGAGGTATTTTATATGTCATATGAAGAGTATTATTTTGTCCTATGAAGGGAAGCCATTGAGTCAGTTTTAGAAGGTGGAGGGGAGGTATCTCATGATCAGACTATATTTCACTCTTAATTTCACTCTTAATATTAACCTTTTTTTAAACTGAAAATTGACTTGAGTTACTAAACAATATGGAAATTAAGTAGATCTATGAAATCATGCAGACACTATCATTTTAACCATGTGGTTTTGTTTTGTTTGTTGGGGGTGGGTGGGGAGAAGATTGACCCTAAGCTAACATCTGTTGCCAATCTTCCTCTTTTTGCTTGAGGAAGATTGTCACTGAGCTAAAATTTGTGGCAGTCTTTCTCTATTTTGTATGTAGGATGCTGCCAAAGCACGACTTCATGAGTGATGTGTAGGTCCGTGCCTGGGATCTGAACCTCTGAACCCTGGGCTGCCAAAGCAAAGTGTGGAAACTTAACCACTATGCCACTGGGCTGGCCCCTTTTTTGACCATGTTGTTATACTATTGTAAATTTGTTGTACTGGTCAAAATTATTTTAATTTCTAATTCATTTTAGATTCTTCCTGGAATAATAAGTGTTCATCCTGTAGTAAGAAATCTGGCTGTTTTATGCTTGGGATGCTGTGGACTACAGAATCGGGATTTTGCAAGTAAACATTTTGTGTTACTATTGCAGGTAGGATTTATCTTGTGACAAAATCTTGATTGTAGTTCCTGAAATAAATATTCAGAATCTGTGGTGATAATGCTAATACTCTAAATTTAATCTATTCTGGGGCTTATTGTTGAAGATGATTATTATGGATGACTTTTAGGCACTTGATCTTTTTTATCTTTTGATTTCTTTCTTATTAAAATTTCTTTGTAGAAAAAAGATGAAATACCAATTATTTAAGGTATTTTAAAAATCATATAGCAAATATTTATTGAGTGCACATTATATGCCCAGCATTATTCTAGGCTTAAAACAAAACAAGACAGGTAATTAAAAACAAAACAAGATAAAAGTTGCTGTCCTAGTGGAGCTTACATTTTAGAAGAGGAAACACAATGAAAAAATAAATAATATATAGTATGTCAGAAAAAAATAAAGCAGAGAAGGGGAACAAGGAGTGGGAATAAGGAGAGGGAGCTGTTTGGTCAGGAAAGACCTCACTGGTAAGTTGAAATTTGGACCAATACCAGAGGGAAGTGAGAGAATGAATCATGTAGATATCTGGGTAAGGGGTTTCCGAGGAGATGAAAGAGGAGGGGAAGGGGCCCTGAGGTAGGACTTTGCTTCACAAGTTCAAGGAGTAGGAGAACATGTGGCTAGGGCAGACTGAGCAAAGGGGAGAATAGTAGGAGAAAGGGTTTGCAGGACGTCTCTGTCTTCCAGGGACTTACAGACTGTAAAGATCTCGGCCTTCACAGTGAATGGGATGGCGAGGAATTGGAGGATTTTGAGTAGAGGATTGTTATGATCTACCGGGTATATTTGTAATGTTGGTATAGACCAGAGGTTAGCAAACCTTTTCTGTAAGGGCTAGAGAGTAAATATTTTAGACTTTGCAGGCCATATAGTCTCTCAACTACAACTCTGCTGTGGTAGTGTGAAAACAGCCATAGGTTATTGTCTATGAATGACTGAGTGTAGCTGTAGTTCAATAAAATTTTGTTTATGCACGCTGAAATTCGAATTTCATGTAACTTTCTCATGTAGTGAAATATTACTTTTTAACAATTTAATAATGTACAGTTATTCTTAACTTGGACTCTGTACACAAACAGGCAGCAGACTGGATTTGGCCCGTGAGCCATCGTTTGCAGATCCCTAGTTATTAACTGCAGGAGTACCAGTAGGGAAGGAGGGCTACTTGTAAGAAAGGTATTGCAGTAATCCAGGGAAGAGATGATGATGGCTTGGGCCAGTGTTTTGGTTAGTGGGGTCATGAGAAGTGGTGGTCATCTAAGTTTGTAGATAATGTCTATAGAATTTGCTGATGAATCTGATGTGGCATATGAGAGAAGGAAATTGAAGATAACTAAGGATTTCTGTCAGAATAACTGGAAAGATGAAATTGCCATTTCCTGTGGTGGGGAAAACAGGAACAAGTTTTATGGCAAATGGATGAGATAAGGAGTTCAATTTTGGGCATGGTAAGTGTGAAGTTTGAGATACAAGTGAATAATAGGTATTTATGTATGAGTTTGGAGATAGGAGAGAAGTCCAGGCTGGGGAGATGAATCTGGACGTCTTTATCCTAATAGTATCCAATGCCTAGAGCCTGGATGTTACCTGAGGAATAAGCGTAGACTGAAAAGAGATCTCAACTTTGTAGTTCCCTAGGGCTGAAGCAACATTTAAAGGTCAGGGAGATAAAGAGGAACCAATAAAGACTAAGTTGAAATAAACATTAAGGGGAGAGTGTGATGTCCTAGAAAGCAAGTGAAGATGATGTTTTAAAGAGGCTAGAGTGACCCAGCTGTCCGTTGCTGGTGACATTGATAAAGATTCATAATTCACCATTTTTGGCAGGTAGGCAAGTGTTGTGACTTTCATGAGAGTAGTTATATGAAAGGCAAAGTCTTATTGGAGTGGACTGAAGAGAGAGTTATGGGAGAGGAATTGGAGACAACCATTGTAGACTACTGTTTCAAGATTTTATTTTCTGTTGGGAGTAACAGAGAAATGGGTTGGTAGCAAGAGAGTGGTATGGAGTAAAAACAATTTGTAAATTTTGTTTTAATATTTTTAGGAGGGATAAAATTACAACATGTTTGTACACTAAGGAGAATGACCTAGTTGAAAGGAAAAAATTGATAATATAGGAAAGAGAGGGCACTTGCTAGAATGCTGTTGAGTAGACAAGGGGGGATGGAATCTAGTGTGCCAGTGGAATGCATTTGACTTTTTAACTCCTTTGGACATTGGTCTTTAACATTGGGGCCTAGCTTAACTTGGAAAATGTACCTCCCTTCACATCCCTGTGTAAAAAGACAGTGTGATTCATGTAGGGTCTGGTATTACCAAATGTAATGGAATAAAAAAGCTGAAAGGAATTTTAATGCAAATTGCTTGCCAGCAGGTAAATGAAAGTGCTTGGGGTGCTCAACTTGAAAATAACATCTGACAACAGGGATCATCATTTTCATGAAAAGATTATTTTAAGAGACTAAACTCAATAGTTGAATTTTCCCCCAAAACAAAACCCTTATCTTGAATCGTCCTTTAGTGTTGCATATGACATTGCGAAGAAAAAAAGTGTATAATTGGAGAGAACTTACAGTCATGTGTTCTGGAAATAGTCAAACTGCTGTGGCTTGTATCAGAGGAAGAAAGTTAAAACCGTACTTTTGTCAAAAGACAATCCTCAGGAATTTCATTGAGTTTTGTTTTAATTTCCTTTTTTGGAGCACATGGCATCGAATCAATTCATTTAATGTGCAATGATGAAATTCCTGATGCTGCTTTGTTGATAGTTATCATCCGTGTTAAAGAAAAATTTCTGTTGTGAGATGCTTTTGGAAGCTTGGAATGTCAGTATTATCTTTAAAATGGTGTAAAGTTTCTTTCTCAGACACACTGGAGGAAAAATCTTGGTACTTCGTCCGGATGAATCATTTATACTGCTTGGCCATACATCTGGTTTTGCCCTAAGATGTAGAATGAACCCTCCATGTGTCATAGAGAGTTGTTGCTTTTTACACCAGCAAGTACTGGTATCAGTGAGTCTGCTAGTAATTCTAAAGGAAGTTTTGTTTACTATTGTGAAATTTATTGGCTTCATAGGTGCCTAGGAAATGAAATCCTATATTTTCAAAGAGGTTTAGCTAAGAAATTAAAACAGTAAGTTCTCTACTTCATTTTCCTGGCTTTCTAGAAGATGAGTCTTGAAGTGCTAGCTTGACTTCTGGTGATTACTTTTTTTTTAAGTGAAAGAAAAATCTTACTAGAACATTTGATAATGAAGGGTTCATTTATGTCTAGCTTATTAAGTAGTTCTTTTTGGCTTTAAAAATGAGGTAAAACATTCATTTAAGATGCCCTATATACCATTGTGAATGCTGCTAAAAAGTTATGTGTTGTTGTAGTCAAGTTTGAACTCTGATAGAGGAGATTGGAGGTAGATAATTATGGGAAATTTCTAGTACTGCAGCAAAGAAAACACCATAGAACTCTTTCAAAAGATATTTAAGTTCACTTGACCTTTAAAGATGAAATGTGGACTTTGATCGTTTTAATTTTTGCTGACATAGTATCAGCAATAGGTGCTTTGGTCATTTCAGACAGAAGAAAAGCAGTGTGAATTTAATGCTTGAGTGTCCTGGAGCTTTCTGAAGTTATTTAATATTAACTCATCCTCTACTTAGAGACGACTATGGGATCCTTGAGACTGCTCCTATATAATTTTCTGTAGTGAAAAGGAATTGTCAAAATCAAGTTGATGTGAAAGATAAATGAATGTATATATCAAGACCATTCTACTATTTTACCTTCTTTCAAAACAAACCAATCAATAGCAGCCTTGTCATGAAATTAAAGTTTACCTTTTTTAATTTTATTTTAAGTTTAATCAACTTTGATCTCTGACTCGGTATTAATATTTGCCTGAAAAAAATAACTAGATATAGTATTTTTGTAAGTTAAAAATGTTTGTGAATGATATCAGATTCAAATGCAGTAAAAAGTAAATCATATGTGACATTTTGCTATACTTTGTATGTTATTCTAGGGTGGGGTTTTAAGCTTTTATCAAGTCCTCAAAGAGGTTCACGATTAAAAGAAGTTAACCACCTAATAGATTCCGTTATTTTTATAAAGGTATTTTCAGGCCTATCAATGGAAGATTTTAGATTAAGGAAAAATAGCTATCTTTTGAGGGAGTAAAAAATCAGTTGCTTTTAAATCATTTTATTAATAAAAATTAAGAACTGTATACACACTTGCTAGAAAGGCTGGAGAGGGGGATTATTTCATTTTAAAATCTTTCTTAAAGATTTTTGAAAAAGCTATTGCTACCCAGTAAGGGACTGAGAAGGGCAGTGAAACCCAAGTTACTACTGAGAGGGCAAAGCTTGTTTAGAATTTGTAGAGAACAGTCATGACAGTACATTCTTATAAGCATTCAGCTTCAGGAGATTTGCAGGTCTTACCATAAGAAAATATGTGACAGATATGTTCTTGAAATTTCCTTCCTGAAAGTTTTGTAATTTTGAACCACTTTTCTTTATTCTCTAATTTGATGAACTTACAGGTGATTTTTATTCATGCTGAAGACTAAGCTGTATGGCCAAGTAGTTTATCAATGACCAAAATTTAAGTGCATTAAAGAATAGAGTAAATCTCTTCATAATAGAAATATTCAGCTCTGTTTTCTCATGGCTTTGAAATTTGGTATGTAGGAATTCGGTTTTCTTAACTCAGGATAGACTCATACAAACTGCTGTGTTTTATGGTTCATCTCTTTTTATAAAAAGGGGTCCAGTTCATTGAAAACTGAATTCACTATTAATGAAATCTGAATTTGTTGAGCTAATAGGAGGAAAATTTATCTTTAATGAAAATTGATAATCTAGGAGAGCACTGATGTTCTAATGAATGCTTTTCATTGGTTAGAATGTAATGTTTTTGTCTTGATAGATGGCCCAGAGCAATTTTAAGATAATTGAACAGTTCTTTTAGATCTTAAAAAAATTGATAAAATAAAACCACAGTTGAACATAGTCATTCTTTTTTAAATAAAAGGAACAAATTATATAATTCAGCCTGACTCTAGTTTTATGAATTTTTGAACTTTTTCTGAAGGAAATATAACTCTAAATGTTATGATACAAATAAAACTTTTGTTAATTTTTGAAAGATGTTTTATGTAGACTTGACACTGTTAAAATTAGACTAAGAAAATAAGATATGTGTTAATTTTATGCGGCATAAACAGAATTAAAAGTTTATTGACTACTTTTTTTGGTGGGGGATGTCTCAATTTAGGTTTTGCAAATCGATGATGTGACAATAAAAATAAGTGCTTTAAAGGCAATCTTTGACCAGCTGATGACATTTGGGATTGAACCATTTAAAACTAAAAAAATCAAAGCCCCTCAAAGTGAAGGTGCAGAAATAAACACTAATGAAGAACAAGAGTTAAAAGAAGCTGAAGAGACAGCCAAGAATATTCTGAAACTCCTTTCTGATTTCTTAGATAGCGAGGTAAGAAATAATCAGAGCCCTATTATTAATGAAATGTGATTTTCAGCATGTGTATGTTTATGTTCTTTATGTTTTTTAGGCTGAAGTTTAAACTTGGCCAACATTTAAAAAATTTGCCTTTTGAATATTATAATTAAATCCTGCTTTCACTTCTAATATATCTAGTTTCTCGCTATAAAATTGCATGTGCAGAGAATTGAAGAGTAAACCAAATTGAAATGAATATTCGGGGAGGTTGCTATTATATTTTTCATTTTTTCTTCTTTGTGATTTATGACTTAAGACTTGGGGAAAAAACTTTAAGAAATAATTTTACATTGGGTGGGTGGAAGGTTTAAGATAGGGTATGGGATTGGATCTCTTTTCTTAAGGGACTCTTAAACTACAGTACATTTTTATATCATATATGAACATTTAATTAAAATTTTTTATAGATTATTTTTTTGAGGTGAAATTGATGTAACATTAACAGTTTTAAAGTGAGCGAGTCATTGGCATTTAGTACATTCTCAATATAGTGCAAACACCATTTCTATCTAACTTTTGTTGTTGTTGTTGTTGTTGTTGAGGAAGATTGGCCCTGGGCTAACATCTTGCCAGTCTTCCTCTTTTGTATGTGGGATGCCACCACAGCATGGACTGATGAGCAGTGTGCAAATCTGTGCCTGGGTTCAAAACCCGTGAATCCTAGGCTGTTGAAGTGGAGCCTGTGAACTTAACCACTCTGCCACTGGGCCAGTCCCCTCTAATTTTTAAAACATTTTATTATCCCAAAGGGAAACTACCCATTAAGCAGTTGCTCCCTATTTCTCTTCCCACCAGCCCCTGACAACCATCAATCTGCGTTTTGTCTCTTTGGGTTTAACTGTTCTGGATTTTTCATATAAGTGGAATCAGATAGTATGTGACTTTATGTCTGCTTTCTTTCACTTAGCTTGTTTTTAAGGCTTGTCCATGTTGTAGTTTGTATCAGTACTTCATTCCCTCTTATGGGAGAACAATATTCCATTTTGTGTATATACCACAATTTGTTTAGCCATTCATCCATTCAAGGATGTTTGGGCTGTTTCCACCTTTTGGCTATGGTGAATAGTGCTGCTATGAACATGTATTTCTTTGAGTATGCATTTTCGATTCTTTTGGGTATACACCTAGGAGTGGATTACTGGGTCATATGGTAATTCTACTTTTTTAGGATTCCTCCCAGCTAGTTAATTAACAAATTTAATACCTCACATATTTATCCTTTTTTTTTCATTGAGAACTTTTAAGTTCTCTCTTAGCAGATTTCAATTATACAATACAGTGTTGTCAAATATAGTCACCATGTTTTACATTAGATCTCCAAAACTTACTCATTTTATTTTTGAGGTATAATAAAACTTATTCATCTTAGAACTGAAAGTTTGTACCTTTTATCAATTTCTCTGTATTTCCCCCACCCCCTAGTCCCTGGCAACCACTTTCCTACTCTGTTTCTATGAGTTTGACTTTTTTTAAGATTTCCCGTACTTTTGCTTAGCATAATGTCCTCAATCTGTGTTGCAAATGGCAGGATTTCCTTCCTTTTTCTGTCTGAATAACATTTTGCTGTGTGTGTGTGTGTCACATCTTATTTATCCATTCATTCTTTGATGGACACTTAGGTTATTTCCATATCTTGGCTATTGTAAATAATGCTTCAGTGAGCATGAGAGTACAGATATCTCTTCAGGATCCTATTTTTCCTTTCTTTTGGATATATAAAGAAGTGGGATTGCTGGATCATATGGTAGTTCTATTTTTAATCTTTTGAGGAACTTGGATGTCTTTCCACTTATTTAGGTCATCTTTAATTTCTTTCAGAAATGTTTTGTAGTTTTCAAGGCAAAAGTCTTTTACCTCCTTGGTTAAATTTATTCCTGCTATTTTATTTTGGATGCTATTGTAAATGGAATTGTTTTCTTTGAATTAGAAGTCCAATGTGCTGTCTGTTGCACAACAGAGCCAGGTTGAAATTGTTTTCTCAATTGGAATTTTCTTAATTTTCTTTCCTGATTATTCATTGATGTTGTATAGAAACTCAACTGTTTTTTTGTGTGTTGATTTGATTTTGTGTTCTGCAACTTTGCTGCATTCATTTATTAACTCCTGTAGTTTTGTGTGTGTGTGTGTGTCTGTGTCTGTGTAGCCTTGGGGTTTTCTCCATCTAGGATCATGTCACCTGTGAAAAGACATGGTTTTAATTCATTCTTTCCAATTTGTTTGTCTTTTATTTCTTTTTCTTGTCTAATTGCTCTGGCTAGAACTTCTAATACACTGTTGAACAGCAGTGGTTAAAACAGGCATCTTTGTCTTGTTTCTGATCTTAGTGGGAATGTTTTCAGTCTTTAAGCATTGAGTGTGATGTGGATTCTTCATAAATGCTCTTTATCATTTTGAGGAAGTTCCCTTCTATTCTTTGAGTGTTTTCTTTGTTTATCCATGAAAGCATGTTTAATTTTGTCATATGCTTTTTCTATATCAATTGAAATCATCGTGGGTTTGGGTTTTTTTCCTTTGTTTTATTGATGTGGTACATTGCGTTGCTTGATTTTCTTATGTTGAATCACCCTTGCTTTCTTGGGATAAATCCCACTTGGTTATGGTATATAGTCTTGTTAATATGTTGTTGAGTTTGGTTTGCTAGTATTTTGAAGACTTTTATATCTGTATTCCATAAGGGAAATTAGTCTGTAGTTTTCTGGCATTACCTTTGTCTGGCTCTGGTATCAGGGTAATGCTGACCTTATAAACCGTGTTGGGAATTGTTTCCTCCTTTTCTATTTATTGGAAGGCTTTGAGAAAGATTGGTGTTAATTCTTTTTTAAATATTTGGTAGAATTTGCCAGTGAAGACATCTGGTTTTGGGCTTTTCTTTTTGGGAAGTTTCTGTATACTTATTCAGTCTGTTTATTGTTATAGCTCTGTTTAGATTTTCTATTTCTTTTTGAGTAAGTTTTGGTAAATTGTGTTTTTCTAGGAAATGGTCCATTTCATCTAGGTTATATAGTTTGTTGGTGTTCAGTTGTTCATGGTATTCTCTTATAATCCTTTTTGTTTCTGTAGGGTCAGTTGTAATATCCCCACCTTCATTTCTAATTTTAGTTATTTGCATCTTCTGTTTTCTTTGTCAGTCTAGTTGAAGCTTTGTCAATTGTGTGCATCTTTTCAAAGAACCAACTTTTGGCTTCATTGATTTTTTTTTTCTATTTTTTCTATCTATTTTGTTTACCTCTTCTCTAATCTTTATTATTTTCTTTCTCCTTCCTTTCTTCTTTGGGTTTAGTTTGCTCTTCTTTTTTTAGTTCTCGAAGGTGTAAAGTTAGGTTGTGCTTTGAGATTTTTTTTCATAATGTAAGCATTTACTGCTATAAATTTCCCTTTGAGTACTACTTTTGCTGCACCCCATAAGTTTTGTTGTGTTTTCATTTTCATTCATTTCTAAGTATTTTCTAATTTCCCTTTTGATTTCTTCTTTGACCCATTGGTGTATAAGAAGAGTGTATTGTTTAATTTATACATATTTGTGAATTTTAAAGTTTCCTTCTGTTACTGCTCTCTAGGTGTATTCCATTGTCGTTGGAGGAGATACTTTGTATGATTTCATGCTTTATAAATTTATTGAGATTTATTTTGGACCTAACGTGGGGTCTATCCTTGAGAATGTTCCATGTGCACTTGAGAAGAATGTGTATTCTGCTATTGTTGGGGTGGTGTGTTCTGTATATTTGGTAGGTCTGGCTGGTATTATAGTGTTTAATTCCTCTATATCTCATTGATCTTGTAGTTATTCCGTCTACTACAGAAAGTGGAGAATTGGAGTCTTCAACTATTATTGTGGAGCTATTTCTCCCTGCAATTCCATCAATGTTTGTTCATATATTTGGAGGCTCTTTTGTTTGTTGTGTATATGTTTATGATTCTTTTTGATGAATTGACCTTTTAAAAGTCAATATTTAATGTGCTTTGTCTCTTGTAACTGTTTTTGACTTACCACGTTTTGACTGCAAAATGGCAGAAAGAAGTCCTTCCTTATTAGCAATTTCTTAAGTGTAAATGGATTAAATTCTTCAATCAAAAGGCAGAGAGTGACTGTTTTGTTTTTATCTTTTGCTGAGGAAGATTCTCCCTGAGCTAACATCCATTGCCAATCCTCCTCTTTTTGCTTGGGGAAGATTCACCATCAGCTAACATCTGTGCCAGTCTTCCTCTGTTTTGTATGTGGGTCACTGCCACAGCATGGCCACCAACAAGTGGTGTAGGTCTGCACCTGGGTATCAAACCCAGGCCGCCAAAGCAAAGCCTGCTAGACTTAACCACTAGGCCATGGGGCTGACCCTGAGATTGCGTATTTAAATTTTGAATTATTAGCCAAGTGATATACGAACTTTCTGTTGGGAATTGTCCAGTGCCATGGCTTGCTGACGTTGCATAGGTAGGAAAACTATTGAACATTAAATTGTTTGACAGTACGTGAATGAATTTTTTTTTTAACACATTAATCTCTTTCTGGCTCAACTAGATTCTGTGACTTTGACTTTATTTTTATCATCACCACTAAAAAATCTAGACTTCTTTGTCCTCTGGGCCATAAGTAACAATCTTTAACATGCTTTAGAGACTTGCAGTCCTGTCCCAATTCAAATTCCCACCATTCATTTTTGGATGGATTACTATTGTCAGGAAAGTATGTCCTAGTTAGAAATTTTTAAAAGGAGGGTTGCATGCAGCTGTTGGAGTTAGACTTGTAGACTTGTGTTCTGGTTGCCTCTGTGTGAATCTTCAATAAGGCATTTACTGTCTTGGCCTTACTTATCTGTAAAATGGGGAATAATGATGCCTATTCACTGGAATTGTTCTTTAATTCAATCAACAAATATTTGAGGGCTAATCATATGCCCATCACTGTATACTCTTGAGACTACAGTGCTGAGTGAAACAAAGTCTCTGCCCTCATAGTTGTTGTGAGCCCTAAATGAGTCAGTATGTGGAAAACATCCCAGTGCCCTAGCACTTAAACTTACCAACCCCTATATCTTTCTTATTTTTGAGTATTGAAAAAAAATTTGAAATAGTTCTTATATTTACTTATTCCACTGTTTACACTTCTGTGCCCCTAGTTTAGACTTGTCTTTCATTCCTAGATTATAACTTGTCAATATAGTTTTCCTGAAATCTCATTGAATCTTATTCCCCTTCCCTTTCAAAAATTTTCGATGGCTCCATATCTTGCCTCATTAAGGGTGAATTTCTTTACCTAATTTTCAAAGTCTTTATAATCTGATTACTGAGTAAACTTACTTTCCATCAATAATAATAAATAATCATTGACATTTGCTGAGGATTTACTGTGTGGATAGCACTTCCAAGAACTTTACATGTATGATTTCTTTATCCTGGTAGTTACTCTTTTGTGTTAAGTACTTTTATCATCCCCTTTTTATATACAAAAGAAGTGAGGCACAGTGGCTGGCCCTGTGGTGTAGTAGTTAAGTTTGGCATGTTCTTCTTCAGCGGCCCAGGTTCGGATCCCGGGCATGGACCTACACCACTTATCAGCCATGCTGTGGTGGCAAACCACATACAAGATAGAGGAAGACTGGCACAAATGTTAGCTCAGGGCGAATCTTCCTCAGCACAAAAAAAATTAAAAAGCAAGTCACCAAGAAGTAGCATGCACAGGATCATGCAGCTAGGAAGTGTCAGGGGCTTGAGTTTAATTCAGTATCAATAACCACTATTTTTTTTTTTTTTAAAGATTTTATTATTTCCTTTTTCTCCCCAAAGCCCCCCGGTACATAGCTGTATATTCTTCGTTGTGGGTTCTTCTAGTTGTGGCATGTGGGACGCTGCCTCAGCGTGGTCTGATGAGCAGTGCCATGTCTGCGCCCAGGATTCGAACCAACGAAACACTGGGCTGCCTGCAGCGGAGCGCGCGAACTTAACTACTCGGCCACGGGGCCAGCCCCTCAATAACCACTATTTTTAACTACCACTCTTTCGTACCTGTATGTCCATTTGAATACCACTGTGTCTTCTTTCTCTTAGTTTGTTTGGTTACTCTTTCTAGGAATGCCTTTTTCTACTTGTACACCTTCTGTTCACATTTTACCCATTATTAAGACACATTGCCGCTCTCACCTCTGGAGCTTTCATTTATAGGCACCTTCCTCTGATGGCAGGGACCATTACTGAGGGTTTTCTGTATTTTAGCACCATGATAAACATTTAATAGATATTGTTTTAATTTTTGGTTTCACAACATTTAGAAGGCCTTTTGATTCTTCTAAACAGTTTTAGGGGAATTGAAGTTTTCATAGCTAGCCTAATAATTTGTCATATAGCCTTAACCTAAAAGGAGGAAACAAAATCTTTTTATGTGCCTTTAACCAATTCATAACAACATGAGTGATTTTGGGATAGCTCATATAAAAATATTATAGGTCAGGCTATGATGTAAAGCTTAAAAAGGAAATACAAATAAAAACTTTCTTTTAATGAAAGTCATTTTTATTAGGTGTCTGAACTCAGGACAGGAGCTGCAGAAGGATTAGCCAAGCTGATGTTCTCTGGGCTTTTGGTCAGCAGCAAGATTCTGTCTCGTCTTATCTTGTTATGGTACAGTCCTGTGACTGAAGAGGATGTTCGACTTCGACATTGCCTAGGCGTGTTCTTCCCCATGTTTGCTTATGCAAGCAGGTACTTAGTCATATCAGTAAATCAAAATCTGACTTGAAGTTAAATTCAGGCTCCCCATGAGTCATATCTATAATATCACTTTGTTGTTGGTATTCTTTTATTCTTCAGTGGTAAGTGATGAAATGAGAAGACCTTACCTAAATTATATCTACCTGAATTATTTGTCTCTTCCTAGATGAAAATGTGGTGTATCTTGATGGGGTGAATTTTATACATAATACATTTTTTTAAGAATCTTATGTTTTTTTTTGTCAACATATTTTCAAATTGTTTTTCAATAGGACTAATCAAGAATGTTTTGAAGAAGCCTTTCTTCCAACTCTGCAAACACTGGCCAGTGCCCCTGCTTCTTCTCCTTTAGCTGAAGTAGATATCACTAATGTTGCTGAGTTGCTTGTAGATTTGACCAGACCAAGTGGATTAAATCCTCAGGCCAAGAATTCCCAAGATTATCAGGTGGGGTATGTTAGCGAGTGTATGGCAAGGATGATGACTAGCACGCGCGTTACTGTTTCAGTAAAATAATTCCTCATAGATTCTTTGAAAGAGAAGCTACATTTTGATCTTGAGATTTCTGGTTTATATGGTGGTGCATAACACAAAGTATGAAAAAGATCTTTTGGGAAATATGGAGAAAAACATAAAAATAGAAGTATTCAGTGCTAACAGTTTGCTACTGAAAAGAACTTATCTAAAATTCATCACCCTCCCTACCCCATCCCGACTTAGTGCTTGCTGTTAATCATTCTGAATAGCACCTATGTTATCTAGAACTCATTGAGACTTCAAATACTGGCTCACCTGCTATGTTTCTGATACAAGGAAGGAGAATTCAAAGAATTAAACTCATCTAAAGCTTTTTATTTTTTTTGAGGAAGATTAGTCCTAAGCTAACATCTACCACAAATCCTCCTCTTTTTGCTGAGGAAGACTGGCCCTGAGCTAACATCTGTACCCATCTTCCTCTACTTTATACGTGGAATGCATGTCACAGCATGGCCTGACAAGCAGTGTGTAGGTCTGTACCAGTGAACCCCAGGCCACTGAAGTGGGACTTGCGAACTCAACAGCTGTGCCACCAGGCTGGCTCCTCAATCTTCCTCTTTTTGCTTGAGGAAGATTGTCCCTGAGCTAACATCCATGCCGATCTTTATTTTGTATGTGGGTCACCACCACAGTATGGCTTGATGAGTAGTATAGTTCTACACCCAGGATCCAAACATGTGAACTCTGGGCCACCAAAGTGGAGTGCACGAACTTAACCACTATGCCACTCGGCTGGCCCCTTATTTTTGTTTTTCACTCACAGAAGATAAGTTAACTGCAAATTTTCTCACAAATTAAACTTAAGCTGGGTTTTTTATCCTTTAATATCATTTAATCAAACTTGTCACCTGTTGAAAATTGTGTTATTATTAGTTGCAGATGCCTGCTGATTAAGTTGAAAGTATTTCTCTTCTATTTTAATTAATATTTAGTGATGGCATACTCCATTCCAGTCACTATGTTGCATGCTGTTGGAAAAAAGATTACAAAAGATATTAAGGCAAAATATAGTAAAGGTCAGTGATAATAGCTACTAAGTGCTTTAGAAGAGAGGGCATGATCTATGTGGTAGGGGTGATGAGTGCAGCATTACGAATTTTAAAACTCATTGAGTAGAATTCAGCTAGGCTGTGTTGGGATTTGGGGAGTGGTTTGGGTAGGGAGAAAAAGACTTTTAGTAAAAGTGATTAAATGTAGCTGGTTATACAAGTCATGTTGGGGAATTTTGGGAAAAAAATCATTCTAGCTAAGAATGTTGAATCGGCCTGTTAGGGCAGAACATTAGGGTAGGGAATTTGGAGTTGGCCTTATTTGCAGTGAGTGACTATGCAGGATGTATATTGAAAGGGGTATAATGAAAGGGTTAATGGGATGAAAGTTACTTATTAGGAAGATTAATTTGGTGGTCAATATCATGAGCTCAATTGGTGAGAGGAATAGAGAATGAAGAGAGCAGTTAAAAATCTCTATGATTAAGTGAGAAAACATTGTAGAAAAAAATATTAGAAAGTAGTAAAAGAGTGGAAAGAAAAGAATAGTAGAAATTGACATAGAAAAAAAAGTATGGGTACAAAAGCCCAAAAATTATGGATATGTAAGAGCTTTGAGAGGCAAAGGAGATGGAGGAATCCAAGATAACTCTAAGGTCCTGAGACTTCAAAGAAGCTACTGACATCATTTAATTGGGGAGTACTCTCATGGTCAACATCTTGGAGAGTGAGGAAAATAGGTTGGGGCAGAGAAGAAGTTGAACTGTCATGCAGTCTTGAGGCCCCAGCTGACCCCATAGGAAATTCCAGAACTGAGCTAGTCCTTTGAGTTGTCCAGAATTGAGACAAGGCTGGGCCATTGTACCTGTATATCCACCAGTCATTGACTGGACTAACCCTTGGGGAGGAGGTGTGAACTTGGGCAGGGTCCACTGTCTTCAACCTGGATCGCTTCTGTGCCCAGGAACTTTTAGCCTCTAAAACTTGTAGTAGGTGGAGGATGAATGCTTCAGTAATAAAGGGGGCAGATCTGGGCCCTGTGCCACAGCATCCACTATAAGAAGTTAAGAAGGGGAGCTCATTTTGGGAGGAATATGTTAAACTTGGTCTTAGACATTTTGCATTTGGGATTGTGGCAAAATACTTAGTTGGAAATGTTTGTTATGTTTGTAGGACTGTATTGTAATCATGCCATTTTCAATTTAGAAAGATTTTTCTCTTCATTTTCTAGGCCTTAACAGTTCACGACAATTTGGCTATAAAACTTTGCAATGAGATCTTAACGTGTCCATGTTCACCAGAAATTCGGGTCTATACAAAAGCCTTGAGTTCTTTAGAACTCAGTAACAATCTTGCTAAAGATCTTCTGGGTCTGTTGAATGACATTCTGGAGGTAAAGAAGTTTCTAATTACTCTTAATGTGTATATATTTTTATCAAAGTTGAATTTACATGTATTTAATTATACATATGTTAGCATATTGTGACTTTACTCATTTGAATATTTCCTTCATAAATTTAATAGAATTTTTAGAATGTTTTTAAACAACATGATATCAGTGTATTGCTTTTTTAAAAGATTAGAAAGTACTGCATATAAAAAAATGTTAATAATGTTTTCTATTATAGCAAGTAAAAGATAGGACATGTCTGAGAGCTTTGGAGAAAATCAAGATTCAGTTAGAAAAAGGAAATAAAGAATATGGTGACCAAGATGTAGCAGCACAGGATGCCAGCACAACTATGGCTGTTTTTCCAAATGAAGATGGTAACAACATACTAACCTGAATATTTATAAGATTTGGTCCTTTTCATCTTCACTGAGAGACTTTTTTTTTCTCCTTTAACATGTGGTTGGATTTCAGAAATGAATCAAAGATTTTTCTAATTAATCCCCTTGAGAAAGTATATTGCTGATAAGTATTCAGCTTTTATAGTTTTTGTGTGTACAGTCATGCACTGCTTAGCAACGGGGATTCGTTCTGAGAAATGCATCATTAGGCAATTTTGTTCTTGTGCAAACATCATAGAGAACACTTACCCAAACCTAAATGGTATAGCCTACTATACACCTAGGCTATACGGTGTAGCCTCTTGCTCTGAGGCTATAAACCTGTAGACCGTGCTACTCTACTGAATTCTGTAGGCAGTTGTAGCACAATGGTCAGTATCTATCTAAGCATCTAAATATAGAAAAGGTACAGTAAAAATACCATATAAAAGATAAAAAATGGTATACCTATGGAGGGCACTTAGCATGATTGGAGCTGGCAGGGCTGGAAGTTGCTCTGGGTGAATCAGTGAGTAGATGGTGAGTGAATGTGAAGGCCTAGGACACTGTTGTGCAGTACTGTAGACTTTGTAAACGCTGTACACTTAGGCTACGCTAAATTTATAGGAAAATATTTTTCTTCAATAAATTAGCTTTAGTTACTGTAACTTTTTTCTTTATAAACTTTTTTTAACTTTGACTCTTGTTATACTTAACTTAAAACACAGTAGTACAGCTGTACAAAAATATTTTCTTTCTATCCTTATTCTATAAGGTGTTTTCTAGTTTTAAATTTTTTTTTACTTTTTAAAGTTTTTTGTCAAAAACTAAGACACAAATACACATTTAGCCTAGACCTACAAGAGTCAGGATTATCATTATCACTGTCTTCCACCTCCACATCTTGTCCCACTGGAAGGTCTACACATGGAACTGCTATCTCCTATGAGAACAATTCCTTCTTCTGGAACACCTCCTGAAGGACCTGCCTGAGGCTCTTCATGAGGAGGTGTCACCTTTTTCAGAAAAATGCCCATGGTGGTTTGCTTGGAAGCAGATATGCACCATGTACATTCCTCTCTGTTAATGAAAACCTTTTGATGCTTGTGGTCCAAGTTTTCAAACTTTAAGGAGCTTGTTGAGCTTCTGCTAAACCCTTTACTGTGAATTTTCTCAGGGGTTCTTCTCTTTCTTCTCCTGCAGTTTCCTTTTCACTTGTGTACATCAGTATCATCACAAACATGTGAGTAACGCATTGTGCTATGACGTCACTAGGCGATAGGAATTTTCCAGCTCTGTTGTAAATCTAATGGGACCACCATCATATATATGCTCTGTTGTTGACTGAAACGTTGTTATGCAGTGCATGATTGTACATTTCTCATCATATGACCACACATACTATCTTAGGAGTTTTGCTTGCTTGCTTACTTTCCAGTGTTCACAGTTTTTGAAATACTGATTTTTGATAAATTTTCTGTAGCTGTTAATGGGACTGGTTGTCATTTCTGTTTTGTGAAAAATTGACTTGAAAGACCATTTAAAATACTTCACGAGGCTATTTTTTATTTGTATTGTTATATTATTTTCTTCAATAGAAAAGAATAAAGAAGTATATTTAACTCCTCTCAAGGATGTAAAAGCAACCCAAGCGTCAAAATCTACGCAGCAGAAGACTATTAGAGGTAGTATATGGATTGACTGGCTTTCTCAGAAAGCTCTTCGAGTTCGTTTTCCAATGAAATACTTTGCAAGTTTCCTTATCTTTGTTTCCTTAGGGATAAAAATTTTTAAACCTCTTATGTATCCTTAAGTTTCTTTTTAATTCTTTCATTTGATATTAGGTTTTGCTTTATGTCTGTGTGTAATATCAGTGTTACTCCAAGTGCTTTTGTTTGAAAGAAATATGATGCAAAAGATTATATCGCAAAGGACTATTTGGGTTAAAGTAAGATTTTTATTATCAAATGATCAATGATGTTATTATCAGTTGTTTTTGTTCTCTCCTTTATATGATTTAGCATTTTTGTACCTTTTAGCCTACTAGTATTTTTCTGAGCTTCTGTTTTCCTTTTTCCCATTTTATTTCATATTTTCCCACCATAATTTATTTCCCAAAGGATATCCAACAATAGGGGATTTGTTGGAATAAAGTAAATGTTGACCATTAGGGGATCACTTGGAAAAAAAAATATGAAATTCAAGGTCATTTTATTGTTTTATTATTTTCTTATTACAAAAGCAATGCATGCTTATTACAGAAGAATCAGAAAATACATCCAAGCAAACTAATGTAAAGAACAGTAATAATTCCACCCATGAGCCAACCATTATTTTAATCCTTCAAAAATGTTTCTAGAGGCCCTTTTCTATGCAGATTTGATTTTTCTAAATGGAATCTGGCCATAATATTGTTTGGTAACCAATCAATTATTTAAATGCTAATTGCTGAATATTGTTCCAGATTAGTCCCATATTGTTGGATGTTTTCTTGAGGATAAGTACATTAGAAGTTTAAAAGCAAATACATAAGGTTTGGGGAAAAAAAAAGTTTCACACGAATAAGTGGAGTATATAAATTTCAACCAAATGGTCATACTGAACAGTTTGGTTTTGATCAAATTGCTTTTAGGCAGATAACATACCATGAGAACGCCACCTCGTTTTTTTTAAATAGCTAAAACTTCATTTATATATGCTGTTTTATTTCTTATCATAAATGAGGTGTATCACAGGCCAAACTTACTTTTTTAACCTTCTAGATTTCTAGCAAGTAGAATTTTTGCAACCCCAGCTTATAGCTTTTATACGGAACTGTTTTAAAACACGTTTTTGAATTGGCCATGTATATGTTTGAATATTTTCTAAGAAGCCATTACCTTACTAATTAGAGTTCTATTTTTTTAGGAGCTGTTTATGGGCTTAACGTACCTTTCTAACCTTAATTTTCATTAGTTTCTCCATACACCTTGTGCTATAGCCATAATAGTGGTAGTTTTCTTTATATAACATGTTTTTCACATGCTCCTTTCCCCCAAATACATTTAACTAAAATTTGCTTCCTTATAACTTAATTTTCATATATTCCTTTGCTTATTATCAAATTGCCAAAAGGAATTAATAAAATTTTAATCTTGCTTGGGTTCCTTTTCTCTGTGGTGTTGATAATTGGTATCAAAGTGGCTGGGAACTAGGAGGAAATGTGCTGAAGAGAGAAAATAAGGGATTTGGGTAGCCCAGAAAATAGATTAAAAACAATAAACGATGATAAATTTTGATAATGAATTATACTGTCTTTAAGGACGGAGAAAAGTGACAGCTTCAGCAAGGATGAACAGAAGATGTCAGACTGCTGAGGTTGAGGCTGACTCTGAAAGGTAGGCCATGCACATCTAAATATGTAAAGAGCCTATTTTCATTTTTTTTTTTTTTTTTTGTCTAGAAGTAGAAAAAAATTGTAGTTTGCTTTTACTGTGAAAGAAACTCAATATATAAAAAGATAATTAGTGAAAACTATAAATAGCTATATCTTGGATATATAGTCTAAAATTCCATTCTCAAGAGCATTTGACTTTGTATAGCTTGCATGCTTTTCCTATTAGTTGGTGTGGCCTTTAGTATTAGGTAGTCAGATTTAATATATTCTTTCATTTTCTATTTCCATGTATTCTTCTAATTACATGATCACGTAGGTATTACTCCTCTGATCGTGAATTAACGTACTTTTGAGATTTGGATTTGAGTTCTCTACATTTACAATGATAAAATAATTCTGCCTATAATTTGGATATATTGGTGGTACAGTATTTATTTTTGGTTTCTGCCAATTAAGCCAGTTGGAAGCTGCAAGTCTGTAGCTGCGTTGCATTTATCTATTCACTGGTAAAATTATAATATATATTTTTTCATTATATAACTTTAGGTTAAGTTTTGACTAAATTTAAAATATCTTTTGGGGAAATTTGCTGTTTAGTGTTTTAGGAATTTATTGCTTAAATCAAGAGAACTTAATTTTTTTTCACTTCTTGAGTTCTCCCCAAATCTCTTTTGGGCAGTTGTTATGGTCCCTGTCCAAGCCTCATTACAAGTTTGTTTTTTGTTTTTTTCTTTTTCTGTATAATACCAGGTTCCATACAGATATTTTTTCATGATTCACTTTGCTGGATAGCCAGTCTGTTTTTTGGTTTTGTTTGAGATTTTAGTTTTCAGCTTAAATTAGTGGAATCAAAATATCAATTACACACTGATAGAATGTTTTCAGAAACAAAAAAAGTTTTATTTATAAATAAACTGTGGTTTTAAAGCTTGTATTTAAATTGGTGTATTTTCAACATCTCTTTAGTGATCATGAAGTTCCAGAGCCAGAATCAGAAATGAAGATGAGATTACCAAGACGAGCCAAAACAGCAGCACTAGAAAAAAGTAAACTGAACCTTGCACAATTTCTCAATGAAGATATGAGTTAGGAGAAGAGATGATGGAGGTGGAGTCTTTGTTAAAAGTCCTTTAAAATTGTGTTCAGTTCTTGCTTTAATAAAGTTACCCTTGTGTCAAAATCAGAAAAAGCCTGATTTCTTGTAGGACTTTCTGCTGTGCGATTCCACATTACTTTGGCCTATTGAAGCGTTAGGATGGCGTCTGTCAATGTGCTCCACAGACCGTCCGCATCAGTCACACAGATTTAATTGGAATCTAAGGAGGGCCTAGGAACTTGCTTTTTAAAACAGGCTTCCCACGCGATGCTTATGAACTCTCCTGTTTAAAATCACGACATTATGGACAGCTTTTAAGTGTAACTAGCTAGTAGCTTGCATTTGGGAAGCTTCTGACCTAGATGGGGCAGATCCAACACAGATGAAAACACCTCAGAGCACATTTAAAAAGTGACATCTCAGAGGCAAAAGCACCACAAACTGGCTAGAAAGGGAGGAGGACTATTAGAATGAACCAAAGTACCCAGCATCCAAGTTCAGCAGTTACCATTTTGATCATTTGTTTTGTGATTCTCACACTAAAAATATTTTTGATAATGCTACCTGCATGGGTAATTTCTCTTCCTAAAATATTTGCATATGAAAGGCCTAATTTGCTTATGTTTGTGATGGTGTTTCCTGGGTTAGGGAGATGTTCACATATGCATATTCATCATGGAGTTGTTTTCTGTGTTTTTGGCATAACAATATTATGGATAATAAAAAAAATACTAGTTGGAAAAGAATGTGACAGGAAGTCCTCTATATACTAATTAATTTGTGAGCACTCTTTCTTCACTGTCAATTTCATTTATCTTCTGAAATTGGCACTTCCCTGACTTAGGAAACATAAACTGTATGAAATCAGTCCTCTTTCTTTCTGCAACACTCAATAAAACACTTTTTCTCATCCCTGTGATAATAACCTTTTCTTTTTATTGTTGAGAATAGATGTGTCCTAACATTGGATCTGTTTTAATAATTGTGCTTTTTTAAGCTTATTTACCAGAGACCATTTATTTAAAATGATGTTTTAAGATGGAGCTAAAGTAAGATTGTTGTGCTTTTTAGAACCAAATTGCTTTTTACATACATATACATGCTTTATAAAACTCAGAAATATAAAAGGAGTCTGAAAGTTACAAAGAATGCTTATTAAGTGAAAAGAAAAGGCAGAAATGGTTGTGATATAAAAACAATGAAAAATGGATGACTTTTCATTCTCTTGGCTTTGTGTCTTTTATTGTGCTTCAAATTCCTTATGTAAGTCTTCTTTTGTTAAATCCCTGTCGCTTTAAAAATAATTTTGGGGGATGGGGTGGTAAAGAGAAATAAGGACTTAAAAGGTACACAAAATGTGCTGTAAGGAAAAGTGTTCAGAAAAACAATGAACTAAATCCTATTTACCCCCTAGCCAGGCTATCCAAAGGGAAAGAGCTGTGTTCTTACATACTTACATGGACCACCATACCAAAGCATGGGAAAATTAATTTGGCACTTGGCATTTATCTGGTATGGGAAAAATAAATTTAACCACCAAAACTTGAGTATTCTTACTATTCAAATTTTAGACACAATCACATAAGCCATTGCTGAAACTATGCTTTTGCACTATTAGAGTTAAAGGTAAGGATTATTATCCGATTTTAAAAGACCCTATTCGTTTACACTTTAAAACAAATGGCTAAAATACAATGAAATCAGTAGATGTAAATCCATTTACCATTTTGCATTCAAAACTTAACTTACAGAAACCAAACTTTTTGTCTGCAAGAGGCACAGATTTGCTGAAGAGTAAACATGCAATAGTGCCATTGCTCTTACAGCCCACAGACTTTATAGGTTTAAAAATACAGAGAACTGATCAGCTCAAATTCTCATGAATGGAAACATGCTACTTGATAAACTATGATCAATTTTTGTATACATATATAACTTTGAAAGAGAGACACTTCTAAGAGATACCTTTGCCTTTTACCAATTTGCTTCGAGGTAGTTGGTATCCACCTGTTTGTTATACAACCGTTCATGGGTCAGGTCATCACAAAGCTTTACAACACTAGCCTTCTAAATCACAATGCATTATATATTAAAACTTTGTGCACAGAAATCAAACTGGGGACAATTACGTATATAAACTTAGGGTGTAAAAAATTCACAAAATACCCCTAAAAAGAGAACATCAAAATCCATTTGTACTGCAAAATTCCACAATGGTCCGGTGTAAAACATGTAAAAAAAATACAAAGAATATAATCAAAATGATTAATGCTAATGATTTAATATAAAGACATCACAGGACTAGAAATATTTCAAGATCAATTGATAAATGCTTATTCAGCAGAAAGAATATTGACATACAAAATAAGGATAGTGCAAGAAGAACGGCAATCTATTTGTCTTCACTTTTGAGATTTTGGTTATGAACTGTACAGCTCGCTACAGATGCTGCTGTCAAATTCAGATTCCATTCAATGGGACGATTAAGGCACATCTTAATAGGGCTCAAAGGGCAACTTGCTGTATTCCCATCAGACAAATTCAGTTTCTCATCAGTTTTCATTTGTAGCATGCTGGAAAAAAAAGTGTAAAGCATTTTAGTTTCACTTTAATGTCAAATTACCACTTTTGCAAAAGAAAATTCAGTAGTTCTATTGTGTGGACCTCTAAAGAGAAGTAGATAGAGCATTTATTATCCTGAAAACACAAGGTTTTTTCTTTCTTTTTAGCTTCTGCCTCCTTGCTTGATATATATGTAAGCCAAGTACTTGAAAGGTCAGATACCACTGGACAAAACCTTCACTGCTTACGTGGATTTCATCAGTATACATCGGAAAGGACATTTAACTACTGAGCCTGGCAGGATTCGACACTTTTAACTTGTCCTTTAACCTACCGGGATCAGAGCCACGTTGAGACGAGAAGGAATTAACCTTTGCTGAATGCCTGCCATGTTTTAGGCACATTCACATGCATCATCTCATTTAAATTTCACAACAACCAAGTAAGGTTGGTATATTTATCCTCACAATAAATGGTATGAGGAGTCTCAGAGAGTCAAATACAAAAATGCCTGAGGTTTATACAGTCCTTGCTCTTTTCCTTGTCTACTGCTGAGAATGTTTAGAATCACAGAAAATTGAGTAGCTACTCAATTTTCCACTCCACATGTAATGCACATGTAATACTGTCTTAAATAATGTTAATGATAGTCAATTCACATCTTCAGATGTGAATCTTGTTTATAAATTATTGAATAGTTTGCTATACATTAGCTCACCTGACACTTAACTGATTGGTTGGACTACATCATTCCTAAGCTTTCTCCAACCTCAGGTCTGATTCTTCCTGTTAGTAAAGAGGGAAGGGAGCTGTGTAGTATTTAAGTGACTTGTTAAGAGTTGATAAATGGCAGCAGCATCCAGACTTTAATAGCACTTTCTCGATCCCTCCTTGCAATCTCAACCAACTGCCTCACTTGCCATTCAATAAGCCAGAGGTTTAACCTGTTAGACCATATTTTAACAGCAATCACGTTCTCACCGAGTTCTCTCCAGGCAAACAGTCCCAGTTCCACTGAATAATGTAGTTTCAACTTTTATCAATAGAAATGAAACAGAATGACAAACTACAAGGTAGCTTAAAAGAGTACTCATGAAAAATAGTAAATCAGTTTAAAAAAAAGCCAAAATCTAGACGTGACTAATAAATAGGGATATATTTAAAGTAAATCAAGGCCTGATAGGTGACAAAGAGATCCAAAATACAATATTCTCATTCATAGCAGAAATCTTAACTGATTTTTGAAAATATTTACACTGATTACTATTATTAGACTGATGGCCTCAAAGACCTCAAGTTTTTTTGTTTTTCAAGTTAGCAAAGCTCAAATAAACCAGTAATGTTTTTCTTTCCTCCAAGGACTGCTAATCTTTATAGTTTTATTATCTGTATTTTCAAAATAAATTTCGATGTACATCTCTGAGAAACTCTAAGGCAAGCTACAAAAAGAGTTCTATTAAAATCAAGATAGCTTGGTAGATAAGCATATCAAGTATCAAACTCCAAAAGAAGAAAACAGCAGCGTGGAGCAACAAATCGTGTCATAAAGATAATTTTGTGTTTTCTGTTTGCTATTTGATCAATAAAGGTGTGTTCATCAAAGAATAATACTTCAATAACGACATTATTGTTCTTTTCAATACCTTAAAGACTATTTTTTTAAGTTACTTTTCTGGAGTGTACTCCAAATTTGGGTATACAAACTTCAGGGGTGCACAAAACTACACACGCATGGGAAGAAAATACCAGTGTAAACATTAGTACTAATAAACAGACTGACATGTTTAATATATACACTTAGGAACTAGTTGGTGTGCAAAATACTCAGAATAGAGGAAGACAGCTATCTTGAGAAGCGCTGGAACCAGAGGCATTAGGACAATAGACCCGGAAGGGGCCTTTCTAGACTCCCCCCAACCCCCCTTTTAAAGACACAGCGAAACTAAGGTATAGGAAAAGAAAAAACTGCTCCTTTTTAGAGTGTCCTAACCAGATTATGTGGACTAATATTAAGAACCTGGATGTCTAGTTAATCTAGTACTTAGCAGAGCACTTTTCAATTCCATTTTCCATACCAGTCAAATTATTTAACATTTATTGAGTACCCACTAGAAAGCACTTTTGGGATACAAAGACAAGGAAGACACAGTCCACGTTTTCAAAGAATGTGCTATCTAGAGGAATCTTTAACAAATATTCCTTTAGATATGGAAACAAAAGTTTTGACTAAACTAGTTGGTTTATCGTGAGGAATGTGTCATGCACATCTGGAGCGAGGGAAAGGTTAATAAATGCTCCTCAACTTTTCCTGATGGACTTTTTTTTTTTTTAAAGATTGGCACCTGAGCTAACAACTGTTGCCAATCTTTTTTTTTTCTCCCCAAATCTCCTCAGCACATAGTTGTGTATTTTTAGTTGTGTGTCCTTCTAGTTGCGCCATGGGGGACGCCGCCTCAACGTGGCCTGATGAGCAGTACCATGTCCGCGCCTGGGATCCGAACCAGCGAAACTCTGGGCTCCTGAAGCGGAGCGCGCGAACTAATCACTCGGCCACGGGGCCGGCCCTTGATGGACTTTTTAACGTGTTTTTTTTCTTTTGTATTTCTTAAAAATAGAGAAAATGTTTGCAAAATTAAAAAATCAATCACAGTAAAATGAATGTTATCCAGTGAAGAGTCTCTCACTGCTCCTTATTCCTCTTCTAGGAGCTTCTGCTGTTACCATTTCTTGTGTGTTCTTCCAGAGAGTCTCTTCACACTGCCATAGGCTCACAGATGTGTCTCAACTATCTCCTTTCCCCTACACAGTTCTGTATACTGTTCTGTATGTTGTTTTTAAAAATATACTTTGGAGATTGTTTCCTAACTGTATAACGAATACTTGATTCTTAACAGCTACACAGAATTCTACTCTATGGATAATCATAATTTACTTCACCAGTCTTCAACTGATAGACTGGGCTATTCCAATCTTTTGCTTAAAGTACCATTGTATTGAATCTTCTTCTCTGTGTTCTTTCCGGATGTGTGCAAGTTCATCTGTAGGGTTGATGTCTAGGAGTCGGATAGCTGGGTCAAGGAGTGCTTTTACAATTTTGATAGGTATTACCAAAATGTCCTTCATAGACTGGGTGCCATTTTACACTCTGAACAATGTACGAGAATGTCTGTCTTCCCTCACACTCTTACCAATAACGTATGATGAAACTGAAGGATCTCTGAAAAAATGATGTTAAAAAACGGTATGCCACTGTTTAATTTGCATTTCTCTTATGAGGAAGGTTAAGCTTATTTCCATATGTTAGAAGCCATTTGTATTTCCTTTTCTGTGTTCTTTGCCAATTGAGATAAGCTTTTTCTTACTGACATGCGGTTACGATTCAATCCTTTGTTCTATATGATTTACAATCCCACTCTCTTCCCCACCCTGCCTAGTTCATTAGCTGTTTGTATCTGCTTATAGTGACTTTGTCATGAATCAATTCTAAATTTTATATCATTAAATTTATCAGTCTTTTATTTCATGGCTTCTCTGCTTTACATTATGATTAGAAAGCTGAAGAAGCAGCATTTAAATCATCTGATAAAATGGCTCTATACATCCAAATCCAAGATTCTAATGAAAACTCAGCCAATAGTGTACACAGTGGTACTCTTAACAGTAAAAAATTGGGGAAAAGAATGTAAAAACTTGGGGTCCAGTTCTGACAATATTAAAATCAGCCTTATGACCTTGGACAAGTGACCCTAGCCTCCTTCAGCCTCATTTTCCTCATCTATAAGAAAAAAAATTCAATGACATCTTCCTTGCTTACCTTATACATTTCTGAGGATCTACGGAGAGCCAATTAACACACTGTAAAAATCACACAGAACTATAGACAAGTGCGAAGGTTTAGTTTAATGTCACGTATCAGGGTGAAAGGGGCAAGAAGTGGGAAGAGGCCTTTGTCCTCAGTGAGGCCTCCTCCATCTGTCAAACGAGGAAGCCAGAGATGGGCGAGGGAGGAAGGAGGGCAAGAGGCGCCTGAAACGATGAGCCACACACTGAAGCCTGTTTCAGTACTTCAGTAATCTCATCCACCCAAGACAGAACCTTTCTCCACCATCTGAATGGAAGTTTATAGATTATGTGCATTTGGAAAGTGGAGAAGATGAAAATCTTTTGTGGGTCTTGGAAATCCAAACAATCATCATTTGTGATTTAATGATTACGGATAATTCTCATTTTAACAAAAATAATTTTGAATATATCCAGCTCAATAATTTAACTTGTTTTACTTATTTTTTGGAGATATGTCATGGCCCATTTCTGTCAGACAATAAGCTTTAACGTAAGTTAGCCAATTTGCAAGAAACAATAAATTTTAGTGTGATCAAGGGCCTGAAAATTCCATTTATGCAACAATTGCTACATGCTCCGTACTATGCTAAGAGCCTATTTTACATTACCTCATTCGACTCTAACCACCACCCAGTGGGGCTCAAAGAAGAAAATGACTCACCCAAGGTCACACAACTAGAAAGTTGAAGTCTTCGGGGCCTATGATCTCTCACCGAATCCTGCATACTAACTCTTGGGTTGTGATTCGGTCATGATTCTCCCTTCACGATAATATAGTCATTTATCTATTTCTTCAGAATACTTAACATATGAAAAGTATCTGGTCTACAGATTTCAGAAAGGAGGACATCCCGAAGGGCTAAAGCCATAACCCCATCCAGGAAATAAAGTATGAAGGTTCCTCATAATTAACTAATTAAGGAGCTGCTAGTCATATCTTTCAATTTCTCAAGATAAAAGAGGAAAGAGTACTAGGGTTTAGACTGACATGCTTTTGAGAGCATAAGAGTAATCCTTAGGTTAAGAGTTTCTGGGAACACAAGTTTATCTTTTCAAAGGGAGAAAGGAGTCAGCTACATGCAGGGATAAACTGAGCTCTCGTATGGGATTTGGAATTTGAACAGTTACTATTACGTACCTGAAGTCATCAAATTTGAACTCATCTATT